GGGATTTCAATGTTAAAAAACAAAAATTGAGCTACATACATGTATGTACTAACAGTATAGAGCCTGGTCAGATAGAATGCATGTACAGGCCTGCCTGGCCCTATACTTGTAGTAAAGGCTTAACACTTTAAGGGTTAAAGAGACTCCACTGAGGTCTTAAAGCCTAAAACATAAAATTTGAATTTCTTACATTAATGAGCTTGGGCACTTAAAACAGAAAGATATTCAAAGATAATTAAGAAATATACTGAGATATAATTTGAAAGTTTTTTCAATTTTGGGTCATTTTTAACAATAAAATTAACTATTCTGACAAAAACGAAGTGAGAAATTGATCTAAAATTTTTCACAAAGGCTATAGGTCTATACCTTCATGAAATGGAACATTAATCTTTGAAAAATAATTTCATTCCCGTCATGTCAAAAGAACCTCAGTCGAGTCCCTTTAAAGTTACATATCAATATGTATTACAATAATATGAAACAATAATGCTATACCCGTAAGTCCAGTGGCTTCAGCTGTCTGAAATGATGCATAAGACATGAGAAAAAACAGAGCTGTCTCAAGAAGAGGGAACTCGCGGATCTTTGTATACTTCGTTAATAATGCTGTCGCCATTCCAATCAGGGATCCAATCAGAAATGCCCCTCCAAATATACCAGCAAAGTTTCCAAGAGCTTTGAAAAATGCATGGACACTGAATCCTGCAGATTTCTCCTTCCCATAAGCTTCCACAGAACTGGAATAAAGAATGAAGTTGTAAATTGATAAATTAAAGTTATATACCTATCTAAATATATATATATTGTCTACTGGTTTCTAATCAAAATACACTATAATTATTCTACCATCTGCAAATAAATACTGTGCAGAGTTAGCAGTTAAAAGAATGATGAACAAGAAATATTCCTATTCTTGCCCTGTAGATTTTAAACTTGCATATAATAGAATAAAAGGCTTTTATTTTGTAGATGTGATTAATAAACCAAACAGCAATAACTAACCCTTAACCTGCTAGAGCCTGAAGTGAGCCTTTGCCAACAGGCCAAAGGTCAGCCTGTACATCCATTCATTCTGACCAGGCTCTAAATTGATGGTAGCTCAATAGTTGCAGTTTGATATTGAAATTTCTAAAACTTTTAAATGGTCTGTTTTAAAAGCAAAACTCGGGGGAAAATTTTTTACAAATAAATTTTGCAAATTAAAGGGCTCAAAACAAATTTTTTTGTTAAATATTGACCAAAATTTTAAATTTTCCCAAAAATAATGATGTTTGAAAAAGTTTTGTTTTAAAATAAAATGTGATATAAAAATTCCCCCAAAAAAAGATTTTTCTTTCAATAATCAAATTTTTTTTTTTTATAAAAATTTTTTAAATTAAAAAACCCCTTTTTTCAACAATACCAAAAAATGTACCCTAATTGGGAAGCCCGCAAAAATTCACAAAAATATTAAACCAAAAATTTTATAAAGATGAAGACTGGAAAAAATAAATGATGACTAATTACAATGTAAATGAAGAAATGAGAATAAATATAAAATAATGTGTTTCTCCTCTGGAGCAATTCCATCCGTCTAAATAATGTCATAAATAATGTTTATTCCTATGTCACAATAAAATGGTAACTAACTTGAGTCTTTGTTAAACTTCTGTTCTTTTCAAAGGTTAATTCCATGAACATGTATTTTTTTTTAACATTCATTATATACACATAGATTAATGATCAGTTAAATCCATAGAAATAATAGGAATTGCTCAAAAGAAGATACATAAATACACATGGCAATGCATAAGCTAAGAAAAAGTAATTTTACACTGCAATTTTACTGTTTTCAATATTTCATAATAAAGATGTCAAAAATTATATTTGGTTAATGTAATTTTTATAATCATTTGAATCTAAAATTGGGGAATAATATAAACTCTACCCATACATGATAATTAAAATGTGATCATGCAATGTTTGTCTAATGCAGCAGTCTTACACAAGCACTAATTTTTGGTATTTACTTCTTAACCTTTAACCTGCCGAAACCGAATTAGATCTGCCTTTACCAACCAGTATAAAACCAGGCTAGCATGAAAATCTGTGTTAAAGTCTGACAAGGCTCTATACTGTTGGTAATGGAATGGACTGTTCTAAATTCAAAGCAAGGCAAATCCATTTCACACACTCAGCAGATTTAAAGTTTATCTATAGACATTATGTAACAAACAATAACTTCTTATAATTAAGGCACCAATTTCCATGGTTACAAGTATTGACAGGTCATAGGATAGGCTTACTACTGTGTATATAGCAATCCATGGATGATAATTCAAAAATATTATTACATGTATATTCAATACAAAGGGAGATCATTCAAAAACCTAACTATAATATCAGTGTATATCATTTACCATACAAGGGAGATAATCTACATTGTTTCAGAGTTTTTGGTGATTTCCTGTCATGAAGTATTTCTGGAACAATATATGCAGCTAAAGAATCAAAGAATAAAACTTTAAAATATGATAAAAGTAAGTCAAACATAATCTCACAATATGATGTTTCAAGTACAGTAAATTGCAACTAGATGCAAATGTATACATGCCAAAATAATCTATGCAACTTAATTTCCAATTCATTCTAAAATTCAAAAGCACAAAAAATATGCAAAATATTTAGCATGTAACAGACATCACAGGACTTTTCGATTAATTGAATTTCGTGTGACATAATACTGCTACAGTCATGTGACAACTTTCAAGCTTTACCGTTGGATAGTGAACGTGGTCCATTTTTCCATGCATCAAGAACAGTTCTGCTCTTCAATTGACAGTTTCATATACCAACCTTTATGAGGGATTCAATTTATCATTAAATAATCTTCTAATATTAAAGTGCAAATACTATTTACCCAAGGTACACCATAATTCGAAGGTACTGTATTAAATTTTCACAGAGTGACCATACAGTTGTGTTTGTATTGCATGCATCAGTAAACAAAGTGACATAAAGATGCATCAAGACATGATAAATGAGGTCAAGCAGTGCTGTTTTCTGCAAAAGATGATGATGGATGATGAGAAAGACTACATTGATGATTAGGATAATGATCAAGTTGATAATGATGCTGGTATAATCATGAAAGATTTGACAACCAATTTAAAAGCTAATGATGATTACACTCGATCTGTTTAAATTACTGATGGATGACAACTATCATGATCATGATGACAGTACATTAATGATTAGGATTATTGCCTTACGCAGGTTATATAATGATAATGGCAATAAGAATAATGATGATGATGTTAATAATAATGATGATGATGATTACAGTGTAAACAATTTCAACTAGAACTATCACTAAATGTGATTAATACCCCCACAAGACTGCTTCGGAAATGAGGATGTTACTAGTAACAGAATATCTTGTAAAAGAATTGAAATATAGAGTTATGGTTGTGGGCAATTAAAGATAGTTGTGGTTCTTGTATATTGCATTTCCTTTCAATGTGGTTGGCCATTGATGAAGTTTTATTGAATTACTCTGTAATAAGTCCAGAAAGACAAAAGAAAAGGAACAAAGGGCAATAACTCTACAAATACTGAAGATGGAGTTATAGTTCTTGTGCACTGCACTTCCTCTTTTTGTGCTTGACCATTGTATGAAGTTGTTTTGAATTTCAACCAGTACGTTTTAAGTTATGCTCCAGACAAGGAAAAGTATCAAAGGGCAGTAACTCTGTATTTTGTCAAAATGGAGTTATGGCTCTTATGCACTGCACTTCCTTTTAATGTCCTTGACAACTGTATGAAGTTGTATTGAATTCAAAACAGTAGTTTTCAAGTTATGCTCTGGACAAGGAAAAGTAACAAAGGGCAATAACTCTGTAATTTGTCAAGATGGAGTTATAGTTCTTGTGCACTGCACTTCCTCTCAATGTGCTTGACCATTGTATGAAGTTATAATGAATTCCAAAGGGCAATAACTCTTTAATTACTTTTGATAGAGTTATGGTTCTTGTGCACTGCACTTCCCCTTATTGTGTTTGACAATTGTATGAAGTTGTTTTGAATTCCAACCAGTAGTGTTCAAGTTATGCCCCGGACAAGGAAAAGTAACAAAGGGCAGTAACTCTGTAATTAGTCAAGATAGAGTTATGGTTCTTGTGCACTGCACTTCCTCTCAATGTGCTTGACCAATGTATGTAGTTATATTGAATTCCAACCATTAGTCTTCAAGTTATGGTCCGGACAAAAGAAAGCAATGGAAAAGTAACAAAGGGCAATAACTCTGTAATTACTTTCGATAGAGTTATGGTTCTTGTGCACTGCACTTCCCCTTATTGTGTTTGACAATTGTATGAAGTTGTTTTGAATTCCAACCAGTAGTTTTCAAGTTATGCCCCGGACAAGGAAAAGTAACAAAGGGCAATAACTCTGTAATTAGTCAAGATAGAGTTATGGTTCTTGTGCACTGCACTTCCTCTCAATGTGCTTGACCATTGTATGTAGTTATATTGAATTCCAACCATTAGTCTTCAAGTTATGGTCCGGACAAGGAAAATGCAACAGACGTCTGGACCGACCGACCAACCGCCCGACCGATCGACCAACCGACCACCGGGTGACTCCTATATACCCCCCCAAACTTCGTTTTTGGGGGTATAAAAATGTTAATAATGATCTGCAATACAAGTAAGCTTAAACGATTACCACAATCAGCATTTCAATGAACAGGATGATGATAATAATGATGATGATGATGATGCCAATGATGATAATGATGATGAGTATTACTTCAGTATCATGAATAAATCCAAATTATTAGTATTGGTCATTCAAAATGATAATGTAATTTCTAACTTACGATAAAGATATTGATCTAGAAAAATCACGACATTCATGTTGAAATCAATGAAATCGAATGATGAGAATGACACTGGTAATGATAAAGACATCATGAAATTCAGAGAGAAATGATGATAAAGAAAAATACAGGTGTTGATATTGTACCTTCACAATCATGTACACAGAACATCCATATCGTTCAACTTGTATGACAGGTGTTAATTTCAAAGCTTTGTGATCTAACATCCTTTGGATGCATTCCCATGTGAGAGAATATGCTTAAATTCAGATGAAATTAGGTGCAACCTATGACACCTAAAGCCCTTATGATTTAATAACAAGCATAAAGTTTTTATATAAATTGGACTTTGTAAATAATGAGTAAATGCAGGTATTTTTGTACACTTAATTAGATACGAATGAATTGGTGGTGTTCAACCTATCTCTGAAGTATTCCGATGGACCTTTCTGGTGTTTACAGTTTTATATAAATTGGCTTACGTGTTATCCAATCGCTACACTGAGATAAAACATAGTCACTGGTTGACCTGGTTTGCACAAAAGAACACGTGCTTATGTTTGTGATACTGTTTGTGAGCAGTTGACCTAGCAATGAATGGAAAAGGTGTGGCTAAATGTTCCGCTACGAAAAACCGGGAAGGTCCATCGTTTTCGCATATCTCAATTTGACACGTATTTTTATTGATTTTAATGTGATTTTAGTTTAACTTATACACATCATACATGTTATCTCAAACTTTCCACATATTATGATTTTAATTGCCGTAATCAAATTATTTTCCTTTGAGATTATTTTGAGACATGGTGTCACGAGATTATCACAGATATTGACTATACGTTTGTAAATTGTTATCGCCTCTCTGTTTGCTATGCCTTTTGTAATTTATTTGAAAACATTGAAAGCTTGTAATTTTGACATCAAAGTAAGACCGTTTCATGAACGAGTCCCCTATGAGTCCACTTTTTACCAAAGTTTCTTCAACCTCGACTTATTGAAGTTCTACTGTACAGTCGACTCTCGTTATCTCGAAGTCATTGGGACCGTCCAAAAAATATCCAGATAACGAAATGTCGAGATAAACATATTAGGGTTAGATCAAGGCGAAACTGATTTTTACATAAGACATGTGCATACCTTATGTCAAATAACTATAGTATCCCAATGTCTTTGTTTTCATAGGCCTAGTCAATATTTAACAAAGTAACATAAGCGGATGTTTACCAGCGGAAATACGGGTGTCTGTGTTTAAAAAACACATAGTGAGGTTTACTCAATAATACACCAATATAGTGAATAGGATATCGGATATGGTTGATTCCGGATATCTTCCCGGTTATTTATCGGGTTCTTTCTCGAGATTGTTCCAACGCTGATTGATTTGGTGGTGATTGTTGTGAAACAATATTGCAACGGTAGCTTTTCTATACTTTCACTATTTCATTTACATTTAAAGTCATAATGAATTAATACAGTTTTCGAATATTTAAAAAGAATGTAAAATTCACTCATTTTGGACATAACTCAATCAACACGCTAAATAGATTAACTTTTATAAAAACAGCTAAACTTGTTACAAACATAATCGTCATTATGACGCGCGCTATTAATTGGGCAATTATTGTCTAGATTGCGTTTTTCACACGTCTGAAAGGAACAGACGAAGTCGAGATAAACAAAGGATAATAGTGTGAAAATAACTGTTGGGGCTGAAATTTTACATCGAGATACTGAAAATATCGAAATAAAAATATCGAGATAAACAAATATTTCCAATATAGATAAAGAAGGAAGAAAATCGGGACTTTCAAAATTTCATCGAGATAACGAAATATCGAGAAAAGCGATGTCGAGATAACGATAGTTGACTGTATATAAAATTCTTTTTAAGCCTATTACATTTAAAACTCAATTTTTGATCATCCAAACAACTGATGACAATGTTGTTTAACACTACTTTTCCCCTAAAATATAATGCATAAAATTCTATACAATTTCTTAAACCAATACTAATACATGCTTTACCCTTAGAAGAATTAACACAAGCTAAAATGAGAAAAGAAACAAATATTTATAGATATAATTGAAAACCATTGTAAGATACCCACAACTGAACTGAAATATTCCATAACTCTTGCATATAAACAGAGACAGGAATTATAATATCAGTCAAAAATATCCAAGGACATGTGAAAGCTTGAGTATGCAACAATTCCAGATAGATATAAGAAAGGCCCCAAGGATTGGAAGTTAGGATTTGTACACATGCTATGACATATAAAATAAAGACCTGCCTTTCTTCAAATGTTAACACCGACCTGTATAGAGAATGAATTACTAATTAAACATTCATGAATAATATAATTAAACTATGATCTTATATGAATTTACTTTTCCAGCACCATATTTCTTCATTTACTTTAATCAATGCAATATTTTTGGGCTAAAAATTTTATATGAGTAGTAAAGAGTAAAAAGCATTATGCTAATTCATTTACCTTGTACCTCAATTTCTTTAATTGACTTGATCAGCTTCTATTTTTGGACCTGTCTATAATCAATTTAGGGGATATCAAGGTGAAAATTTTAAGTGAGTCAGCCAACAGTACAAAGCCTGGTCAGGCTGCATGGATGTGCATTAAGTACTTCTGGCATTAAGTAAGTATATCACCCTGTCAGTTTTAGCAAGGTAAAAACTAATGAAATTGTAAGATTTGTTTATATAATGAATTAGTGTATTATGGATTTTAAGGTAACTTTATTGTCATACTTTAAATCCAATCTAGATAATTTACCTCGACCTTCTACAAAACAAATTCTACAAAGATTCATTGACACTTGACCTTGTCACTATGCAGAAAATTTAATTACTATGAAAATACAGTCCGACCCCGGTTATTCCACAACCCTTTATTCGAATACCCGGCATTATCCGAAATAGATCGGCGGTCCCGTTTTTTTATCTCTATATAAATAAATATTAATATGAGCGTATTATTCGAAATGCATTATCCGAATTCCCCCTATTTTTCGGAGTAAAATTTCAGTCCCGATTATACAATATTGAAAGAATTTCACACCTATTATTCGAAGCCAGCCTAAATATTATTCGAAGCCAGACTAATTGGCGCAGATCCACTCGCTGCCCGGTCGACTTGTGAAAACTATCAACAGTCATGCATGTATTTAGATAATCAAGATAATAACTCTTTTGTATGTTCTTTAATCAACTTTAATTACCGAAAATGAAAAGCAATGCACCGTATCCGATTTTGTTACTGTTATTGCTTGAAGATGACAGCAATAATTTTCATACATACCGTATATGTAAATTTGTCAAAACATCCAACACATTTTTTTCATTAATTGTAACGCTACATGAGAGCCTTTTTCCTAATCGAAAATACCAGAGTTTAGCTGTAAATACCGTAGTGACAACTCGGCCATTATCAAGGCTTTGCGCGAAATGAAACGATACATTATGTTGAATAAAATGCAAGTACTTATGTCTTCAATGTCAATACAATAATTTTTACGCATCTTTTTTAAATATTTTTTTCTCTAAATTGATTACAGGAAGTAAGTGTGTTGTAAACGGTAGTTTTGCTATGATTGGTCAAAGTTGAGTAGTTTTCGTCTATCACAATAGTCCGATTTCGATTATTCGAACCCATCGATTAATCGAAGTAAATATTCAGTCCCAGGCACTTCGAATAAACGGGGTTGGACTGTATGCAGAAAAAAGGGAGCCTTTTATCATTATATGATTTAAACCTGACCTTAATGATGACCTGATGGTCATGTGACCTCAAACAGCCAAAATATAGAGCAAAATAAATAGCAATATTTTGTAATAATGCAAATCAACATTCTTAAAGTAAAAGGACTTTTAAAAAAAACTTAATTATAATTAATATTCTTGTAACTTAAAATGACATGTAATTCAGAAAAAGAAGCTGCAATCATGGAAATGGAAAAATACATGTATATATTATAAGCACAGTAGGTAAGATATTTTACCACACCAGAAGGTATATGAAACAAATTATGATAAAAGTTGATTTGAATAACTCTTTGGATGCAAAGACAGATTCTGTATATACACAGAAAATATTTATCATTCATTAGAAACAAACATGGTATGTTCTTAAAACAAAACACCCCCATTCCAACCAAATGTGTAAAGGATGGTTTGGCAAAAAAATTATAAAAAACTAATGTCAATTGGGAAAAACATTAGGAATACGCTTAATACAGTAACATTCTTTAAGTACTTAATACAGTTACATTCTTTAAGTAGTCTTTAGATATTTTTCTAAATGTAAATTAACCATTTTCATTAAAACATTAAAATACTATAAATATAAAATGATATTTATCTCTCATGAAACAGACTATATCTGATTACCTAATTTAAATTCAACAAGAGCTGTCCATAAGACAGTGCTCTTGACTATTCTCAGTGCTTGATAGAAAAGGGGCATTACTCTGTAAAAAGGTAATTTAAAATTATAGGACTTGTGCCTTTCATGTAAGATAACCACAGAGAACAAGTGTGTGTGATTTTAACCATTCCCTCAAGTAGTTCTGAAAATACCAACTTGCACACAAAAATTTAACCAAAGTGTGATGCCGATGCCAACACCAGTTGAGTACAATTATAGCTCTCTCTATTCTCCTGCTAGGCAAGCTAAAAATATATAAATATGAAAGGTAAGCACTTCATAAAAATGGAATCTTTCCTTACCGTGATAGTACAATAGCTACATAAGGTAGAATCTTTCCTTACCCTGATAGAACAATAGCTACATAAAAGTGGAATCTTACCATACCCTGATAGGATACTAGCTACATAAAGATAGAATATTTCCTTAACTCGATAGTACAATAGCTACATAAAAGAGGAATATTTCCTTATCCTGATAGTACAATAGTTACATAAAGGTGGAATCTTTCCTTACCCTGATAGGATACTAGCTACATAAAGATAGAATATTTCCTTAACTCGATAGTACAATAGCTACATAAAAGAGGAATATTTCCTTTTCCTGATAGTACAATAGCTACATAAAAGTGGAATATTTCCTTACCCTGATAGTACGATAGCTACATAAAAGTGGAATATTTCCTTACCCTGATAGTACGATAGCTACATTAAGGTAGAATATTTCCTTACCCTGATAGTACAACATCTACATGAAGGTAGAATATTTCCTTACCCTGATAGTAAAATAGCTACATGAAGGTAGAATATTTCCTTACCCTGATAGTACAATAGCTACATAAAGGTAGAATATTTCCTTACCCTGATAGTACAATAGCTACATAAAGGTAGAATATTTCCTTACCCTGATAGTGCAATAGCTACATAAAGGTAGAATATTTCCTTACCCTGATAGTAAAATAGCTACATAAAGGTAGAATCTTTCCTTACCCTGATAGTACAATAGCTACATAAAGGTAGAATCTTTCCTTACCCTGATAGTACAACATCTACATAAAGGTAGAATATTTCCTTACCCTGATAGTACAATAGCTACATAAAAGTGGAATATTTCCTTACCCTGATAGTACGATAGCTACATTAAGGTAGAATATTTCCTTACCCTGATAGTACAACATCTACATGAAGGTAGAATATTTCCTTACCCTGATAGTAAAATAGCTACATGAAGGTAGAATATTTCCTTACCCTGATAGTACAATAGCTACATAAAGGTAGAATATTTCCTTACCCTGATATCGCAAAAGCTACATAAAGGTGGAATATTTTCTTACCCTGATAGTACAATATCTACATAAAGGTAGAATATTTCCTTACCCTGATAGTGCAATAGCTACATAAAGGTAGAATATTTCCTTACCCTGATATCGCAAAAGCTACATAAAGGTGGAATATTTTCTTACCCTGATAGTACAATATCTACATAAAGGTAGAATATTTCCTTACCCTGATAGTACAATAGCTACATAAAGGTAGAATATTTCCTTACCCTGATAGTGTAATAGCTACATAAAGGTAGAATATTTCCTTACCCTGATAGTGCAATAGCTACATAAAGGTAGAATATTTCCTTACCCTGATAGTATAATACCTACATAAAGGAGAATATTTCTTTGAAAGCTACATGAAGGTAGAATCTTTCTTTACCCTGATAGTACAATAGCTACATAAAAGTGGAATATTTCCTTATCCTGATAGTACGATAGCTACATAAAGGTGGAATATTTCCTTACCCTGATAGTATAATACCTACATTAAGGTGGAATATTTCCTATACCCTGATAGTACGATAGCTACATTAAGGTGGAATATTTCCTTACCCTGATAGTACGATAGCTACATTAAGGTAGAATATTTCCTTACCTGATAGTAAACATCTACATGAAGGTAGAATATTTCCTTACCTGATAGTAAAATAGCTACATGAAGGTAGAATATTTCCTTACCCTGATAGTACAATAGCTACATAAAGGTAGAATATTTCCTTACCCTGATAGTACAATAGCTACATAAAGGTAGAATATTTCCTTACCCTGATAGTGCAATAGCTACATAAAGGTAGAATATTTCCTTACCCTGATATCGCAAAAGCTACATAAAGGTGGAATATTTTCTTACCCTGATAGTACAATATCTACATAAAGGTAGAATATTTCCTTACCCTGATAGTACAATAGCTACATAAAGGTAGAATATTTCCTTACCCTGATAGTGCAATAGCTACATAAAGGTAGAATATTTCCTTACCCTGATAGTACAATATCTACATAAAAGTAGAATATTTCCTTACCCTGATAGTACAATAGCTACATAAAGGTAGAATATTTCCTTACCCTGATAGTGCAATAGCTACATAAAGGTAGAATATTTCCTTACCCTGATAGTGCAATAGCTACATAAAAGTGGAATATTTCCTCAACGTGATAGTACAATAGCTACATAAAAGTGGAATATTTCCTTACCCTGATATCGCAAAAGCTACATAAAAGTGGAATATTTCCTTACCCTGATATCGCAAAAGCTACATAAAAGTGGAATATTTCCTTATCCTGATAGTACAATAGCTACATAAAGGTGGAATATTTCCTTACCCTGATAGTACAATAGCTACATAAAAGTGGAATCTTTCCATACCCCGATAGTACAATAGCAGGGTTTGTACAGACATCCAATACCAAAATTCAAGCACTTTTAAGCAGGTTTTCCCATTTTTTCAAGCACATTTTGTTGCAAATAATATCATTGATAACAAATGATAAAGTAACATTAAAACAGCCATAAAACATTGGAAACTTTAATCTTAACTACTAAATAACATACATTGTACATAATGTGATATTTATGTATTCATGTATAGTGCAGCTAAATTATTCCTGTGTGACCAGCAAATTTAATTCATATCATTGTTTATTGATTTTGGTACTAAGTTTGATAATTGGGTTTTTTTTGTATTTTTTGTAAACTGTTGATTTTTACCGACATGATCTCGTTTGATCATTTTCAAGCATATTAACAACAAATTTAATCACTTTCCATTAAATTATCAAATTCAAGGACTTTTGAGCACTTTTTTCATTTTTATTTTTAAGCACTTTTGAAGAAAGGGACTCAAAATTAAGCATTTTTTAAGACTGTACAACCCTGAATAGCTACATAAAGGTAGAATCTTCACTTACCCTGATAGTACAATAGCTACAGCATCATTGAGAACACTCTCCCCAAACACCAGTGCATACAGTGTTACATCCACATTTAAATCATTGAATATCGCCAACACTGTCACTGAAAAACAACAGCAGCAACATTATCTGACAAATGCCACTTTTTAAGGTATCACAGATTCAACATAATTTTACATTAATGTCAGGTTTCCTGTATCAAAACATATAATACTTAAACTGGTTAGGTCCACAATGGACACATTTTCTACAATTATTTTTCAAAATATTGATAAACAGTAGAAAAGTATCAATCGGACATTCTCATAAAAAGTTATTCATAAATATAAAGTTCTAAGAGATAAAAGTTATAAGTGACTTAGAATGAACAGTTATATGATGAATAATAATATTTTATTTCAGAACATTTTATTATCTGCTATATAAATAGATATTATATCAGATCATGTATCTCACACTTGACAACATCTTACATATATGGTTCTTTCGTGGTTTTTTCTTATGCCTGATACTACTTTCCACATAATTATTCATTGTATTGCAGACCTTTCATCACAGACCAATTCACTTTAACAAATTTCTTAATCATACATTTGTAACACAAGAGGGTCATGATGGCTCACCTGAATATAAATACTCTTAATTAATATTGTAAACTATAAATGAAAGCAGATATAATAATAAAATCTTAATTTCAAACTGATATCAAAAAGTTCATGCTTGCATCTGAAATTGTGCACATGTGAAATAACATTACTGGCTGCTATTGTTAAGGGAAAACAATAGTTACTAAATAAGGCACTGGTTGCTATACAAAATCAATGGTTTCCTTGGAAGTCAGTGCCTGCTATAAAATTCAATGGTACAATCACTCTTTGCTATGTAAAAAGTCAATGTTTGCAATGACAGTCACTGGTGGTTATGGAAATTTTCAGTTTGCTATGAAAAGTCTATGGCTGCTATGATATCAATGGCTGCTGTGGAAGTAAATGCTTAGTATATATGGAAACCAATCAGTTGCCATGGAAGTCATCAATTGCCATGGAAAGTCAATGAATGCTATGGAAAGTCAATGTTTGCTATGTGAAGTCACTGTTTGCTATGGAAGTTTATGGTTGCTATGGAAAGTCCCTGGTTATTTTAGAAGTCCATGGTTGCTATGGAAGTCTATGGTTATTATGGTAAGTCACTGGTTGCTATGGAAATCTCTGGTTACTACGTTAAGTCACTGGTTGCTATGGAAGTCACTGGTTGCTATAGAAGATACTGGTTACTATTGAAAGTCAATGGCTACAATGGGAGTCAATGGCTACTATAGGTTGCTATGAGAAGTCACATATAAGGAAAATCTATGTAATGAAAAAGAAATATGCTTACCAGGATCAGTGGCTGATATAATTGCTCCAAAAAAGAAACAGTCATTCACTGTAAATGTCATAGGCAGAAATCGTGTGAATGCAAACATCAAACCACTGTAAATGAATAACAAATATTCTATAATATTACCGTAACCATTAGCTGATTGTCCTTACAAATGACATTTAAACGATGTTACAAACTTGTATTATTTCAAGGTCATGTTTTAAGGTTGTTTTCTATTTACATAATTATAGCCCTTATCTTGAGCATTTAGTTATATATGTTTACAAAAGTAAGTAGATCATATAACCTGTCAAAATAATTTATGAATAATAATACAAATCTACATTAAGAGGTTCCATTTACAAATATATTGTATATTGAATAAAACAAATGAAGTGTATTGGCTACCTACCCAACAGCCATACATGATACAGTTGTTCCAATAAATGCATACATCACAATGGCTCCAAAATTTTTGAAAAAGTGCCTCTAAAAAATAAATGAAAATATTGTGATATTGTGATAAGGTTGTAATGAATCCAGCTATAAATAACCATAAAATATAAACTTACTTTCTCAGACAATAATAACAAGATCTCTAATTAAAAACATCTTATTTCTTAAACAAGAGCTGTCAGTAGGACAGCAACGCTCGACTATTCTTAGTGCTTGATAGTAAAAAAAATGCTTGATACAGTTACCTCCTCCTGTTTACAGGTTGGGGTCATGATGGTGAACAAGTGTGCAAAGTTTCAAAGCCATATGTCAATGGACTTTGAAAATATTTGAACTATTACAAAAACTTTAACGTAAATTCTAAGTCGAAAAAGGGGCATAATTCTGTCAAAATGCTTGATAGAGTTACCTCCTCCTGTTTACAGGTTGGGGTCATGATGTTGAACAAGTGTGCAATGTTTCAAAGCCATATGTCAATGGACTTTGAAAATATTTGAACTATTACAAAAACTTTAACGTAAATTCTAAGTCGAAGAAGGGGCATAATTCTGTCAAAATGCTTGATAGAGTTACCTCCTCCTGTTTACAGGTTGGGGTCATGATGTTGAACAAGTGTGCAAATTTTCAAAGCCATATGTCTTTGGACTTTGAAAATATTTGAACTATTACAAAAACTTTAACGTAAATTCTAAGTCGAAAAAGGGGCATAATTCTGTCAAAATGCTTGATAGAGTTACCTTTTCCTGTCTACAGGTTGGGGTCATGATGGTAAACAAGTGTGCAAAGTTTCAAAGCCATATGTCAATGGACTTTGAAAATATTTGAACTATTACAAAAACTTTAACATAAGTGGTTACGCCGACGCGGACGCCGACGCTCGGGTGACTGCAATAGCTCTACTTATTCTTATCGAATAGTCGAGCTAAAAAGGATAACATTTGGAAAAGTGATTAGTTTTGTGTTAATCAAGTATGAATTTTCATCTTCCAGTAGCCATAAATGTTCTAAACATGCTAAAGGTAATTTCTTATTGAATGTGAAAACTTTGTTTAAACTTAAAACTGTAGTCAAACATTAAAACATGTTATAATACAATGTATAAAAAAAGTTTCTGCAAACTCACTCTTTTCATACTGTACCCAGCTTCAAATATAATCACTGGCAAGAATACATTGAAAAATATTTCTGGATCAAATGTTACCTGGAAAAAAAAACACCAGTTTTTATTACAAGGATGATGTGCAGAATCCTGTATTGTCACTTAGTGAAGTGACGAATTAACCCATTACAGCACTAAGATGACATTATGTAACAGCTTGGAACTATTTATGTTAATTATATTGCAACCTAAAGTCACACAGTTGAATTTTGGAAAAGTGACCTAAAGCCCCATAATAGGCAGACAAAATTTTAATGCTCCCTCAGTTTAATGTGCAAAATAATAAAAAAAAAAAAACATATGATAGGTTAATCACATGAATTGTGTATCACACATTTTTTAAGAAGGGGCAGAATAAACATCAACTTCACTCAGAGTCAGACAAATTTCAACATCTTTTGTTCTCAAACATTTTCATGATAGTTTGTATCAATTACGGATTTTCTACAAACTTATATGCTGTATATTAAAAAGAAACTATTTCTATAATTAGATAATATACATATGTATAATGACTTCAGTGCAGATCATGGAAAGAAGATTTTTGGGTTTATTTTTTTATTATGGTTCAAGGTACATTGTACCTTATCATACTATGGAATACACTCTTTTAAATATTTTTAAATCTTCATTTTCTTTGCAGTTGTTTTTTTTTTATCATCATCCTTAAAGATCCTGTAACACAAATTTTTTATGGTTTTAAATCATAAATATGATGCTCAAATTAAGATTTATCGATTTTTTAGGTTCCAAAAGCATTATTTATTAAGATATTACCGACTAACATTTCATGCAAATAAAGAGAGGTAATTAGAAATTTATTTTCAATAAAGTTTAATTCAAATTTTACAATAAGAAATGAATGCATATATTTTAATGATTACATAAATTATAATATGCACAAATATTTGCAGAACATATTTTACACATTCTTCGATGTTTCAAAATTGTTTTATTTGCATAATTATAATTTATATACATACATGTATATATAATTTCACTTAGTGTGGTTAACCACTTTGATCACAACATACAGGATCTTAAATTCTTGAAAAGTTTTATGTTTAACTGAGTGGCTTTAGGTCATTTTGCTTTGTTTATAAATTCAAGTGGCTCTTAATTTTATTGTCTTCACACTGTCATGTCCCAATTCTAGTTGAGACTTTTTGGTCATTTTCAGCTTTCAGAAAAACATGTACTAACATTTATTCCTTTTAACATTTATAAATTCTATAGTTTTGTTTTTCATTTTGCTACTTTATGAATTGTATTTGTTAGGTTTATATATACTAGTATATAATAAATAATGTTATTTTTATGCCTTACTATGCATTTGTATTTATCTCATAAAATCATTAATTACTTTTATAGCCCTAAGGGTCTGATAATAATCAAAATTTATGGAAACATTTTTACTTTTTTTAATATATGTGTCTAAATATTCTAAAGGTACTATCTTAGAACAATGTTAAAATTGTTCTTGGTTGGATGTTGAAATACACTTGTATGTAAAGTAAATCAAGACCATATAATATACCGTATAAGTGGTATTTTCTGCGGGCTCCAAATTCTGCGGTTTTTCCAAATTTGGACATGTTTTTATTTCTGCGGACTTTATTTCTGCGGCACATTCTTTGGACAATACGTGTTTAAAATTCTGCGGCTCATCTTATCAAAGTCTTTGTCACATTACATATTTTATTTGCATGTACACATTCGCATTAAAATTTTGTTTATCGTCGTCACCGCAAAACTGTATAGTAATTACAAACAATTATATTGTTTGCTTGCAAACAAATACAATGCGCAACTATAGACAGTATGCATTTTAATTCTTTTGATCAGTGCGAAAGGACGGGTGAAAAATATACCCTGGTAGTATCTTTAATTTAATAAAATTGATAAAAGTTTATCGTAAATCAGACAACAATTAATGTATATGACGATTATTTAGCAGTATAAGGTTTAAAATGGTGTTCAAACCTTTTAGCGTACAGGCAAACACTTTGATGTTTTAATAATTTTATTCATAAATTGGCATAACTAACAATAGGTACATCCTTACAAGCACATATTACATACTTAGCTGAAAGCAATTTTATATAACTCGATGACTCGCTAACCGTTATAACCCGTAGTCGTTATTACTTTAATGGAAACAGGTCATAATGTAGGACACTTATTGTTAAAAAAAACAAAACATGGATAAATATTCTGCGGTTTTTATTTCTGCGGTGGTGAAACTGACCGCAGAAAACGCAGAAATAAAGTCACCTCAGAAAAAACCACTTATACGGTAACATATTAAGATCAATAGATATACAAGTACATACAAGCAACCATTGTAATTCAAAGTAATATAAAATCTAGACAGAGCGAATTTTCGTTCATTTAGATGGTAGAATATAAAATTTTGAAAACAACGGAACACTATCTGACTTACTGTTTTTTCAAGTGGAGCCTCTTCCTCTATGTCCGCTACTATTTTATCTAAAGAATACTTAATAATTTTCTCTTCACTTTTATTATGAACAATATGAGAGAAGTTAACAAAAACTGCCTCTGGAGGATCTGCCTTGTCATACTTCTGCAACACAGCATGAGCTGTAGATTGAACATTTGGATGACTTGTGTAACGAATTACAGCTCCCACAATCAACCCTGAAACACAGAAAGTATCAATTCATTCATATTGTTAATACACAATGGCTCTTAAGTCTTTAATTGACATATATATAAATTAATATTGAAATTTGAATCTGCACATGGCCCATGCAGTGCCAAGCTGTCCGCTGGATCAAAAGAAATTTATAACAAGCACATATGAAACATTTAACCCCTTGTAATAGACTTTGCCTACTTTCATATTACAAGGAAGTCAACTACATTGTAGTCTAGGATTTCATGATATTTATGGATAGTCTAGAGATTTATAGATTTTTCAATCCATAAATTTACAGATATTCAATGTGAAATATGCTGTTTTGGGTTGAATACTTTAATTTGCAGTATTAGAGGAGATGTTTTATTGATTGTTTTCATTAACAAAGGTAATGAGATAAGTTTCATCTTTATATGAGGAGTTTGATGACTTTAAATTTTTTGTAAAAAGTGAAAATTGAAAGTCTTCAAATTGCTCTGAATCTTACCATACTGTTGCATTTCATCATATAATCAGTAACCTTATAATTATATTTAACCTGCAGTTTTGAATTTTAATACAACTTGTACTATTTTCATGCTTAATATCTATAAATTTACTATATAAAAGTCTATAAAATTATGGATGGTCCATTACTTTATGAACAGTCTGTATTAAATACATGTACAATGAAATCCTAGACCTGGTCAAAGGCTGGGACTGTGAAGCGGGCCCAGGTTTTGGCTTGCCCGGCAATACGAAACACATCTATATTTAAAATCAAATAAAAAACAATTAAAAATATATAATTCTATACCTATCAGTGAAATTTTCAGTATCATTTCATTTCTAGGTGGGCAACACCGTTTTTTAATGTAACACAATGATAAATAACAGAGGGTACTCTGATAAGGGTGAGAGTGGTTTCGTCGAACTACCGGTTCGGCGAACTCACTGGGTTAGTATCTCGAAGCTATGGTTATATTTGCGTTTACGAACGTGCTAACGATTGATGGAGGGTTGCTTAACGAGAGACTAGCGCGGGTATCTCGAAAGCAGTAGTTAAGCAATCGTTCGTTGCTTACTTGTTAGTTATTAACGATTGCGTTGTGTTATCATTTGAATACATGTACCCGAAAATTGTGTACAGCTCTTGTTTATATTCACCGAATCATTATTTTGCGTAGACGAAGGTGAATATAAGGTTACAATCATGCTAAACCGGAACACAATCACACGACACGTGCAGGATCCGCCGGTCTGTCGTCTAGCAATATAGACTTGTTTTGCGATGAAAATCCCGATTGCCTTGATAATATCAATTGTGATAGTGGTAAACCTACGAAAACGGTTCCTTTAAAAAAAGAGAACAGTCATTGGAACTGCCCCTGTTGAAAGTTCCAATGAAACAGGCGTGATTTCTAATTGAGGGGCGGGACGGGAACTTAACATAGAAACTGCAAAAAAAAAACGACTGTATATAGAACCGCAGAGATTGAAGATTTAGCAGCAGAGGCTGCCAGTGTAGTCAGATATTTTAAACTCTTTACATAGTTAAAGCCAATATTCTGGCGGAGCTTCTTCTCAATACCAGTCAAAAAATCTGGGAACAGATAACCATCCCTCATTCTTCAGGCTATAGCAACATGTTGTTTTAGGGTGTAAGTATACTGTCAATATTCAAATATGAAAATGTTGCTTTCATTGTTGCTTTCCGTTTGAGTGAAATATGGACTATACTTTCACGAAACATAATGAAATTTTACCCTTTAGACAAACATATGTACAGCAACTCTTTCTAAAACCCCACTTGCTACACAGCTGCAAAGACATCATGCGCCTAACAATGACGCCATGAGCAAACCAATTACTTCATAAGCATAAATATATATTAAATATGTAAAGTTCATTTTCATTGGATAATCATGACGTTTATATTATTAGTTATAAAGATTTTTGACAGCTAATATTGTCCTACATAAACAACTGTTTGGAAATATAACCCGAGCCGCTAGGCGATGGTTATATTGCCTACAACCATTTAACATGTCAGGAATATTTATAACGAATTTATAAAACCGCGAACTTCCCTTTTTTTGAGAAAAAAAATTGAGATTTCTTAGAAAATTGCCAGAAACAGTGTATATAAAACTATAAAAATGTCACGATTCTCCAATGAAAAGTGACGTGACAAACGTGCAGTATTATAAAATCTTTTATAATACTGCACGTTTGTTACTGCAAGTTTGGTACGTCAATTTTAATTGGCGTTTATATACACAGCTGCTGTCAATTTATCAAGAAATCTCTCTTTTTTCTGCAGTATTGTAAATACGTTATAAAGATTTTTAACAGGATATATGGCCGATATAATTTTGTTTGCAATATAACTCTCAATTGGCGGCTCGAGTTATCGTTTATATACGGCCATATAACCTGTCAAAATCTGTATTACTAAATATATACATGGCTGCTGTTAATTAATATGGATAAATTTTCATTTTGTTTTAAACAAAGGATGTTTGCTGTATTATGAATTAAAATATAACGAGTTAAATTATAACAACTGGTGTTCGCGAGTGAAATATATGTTAATATAAAATGATAAACAAATAACATTTTCTATATATTACATCCCTTTTTTGTGGTACCGATTTTTGCAGCTGACGTAATGCACTTTTCTTCATGATGTAATTAATACGTCACAGTTTACTTTTCGAAATATAATTTTGTAACTAGTTTGAATTTTGTTGAATTTTCAGCATGATGTATGCATATATTTATTTATGTTTTCTTGTGCAAAATTACACATTACGGAGATTATTCCTTTCGCTGTTTAAGTTATGATATGTTTTTTGTTTCATCCGCATTCAAATATAAGTCTTAAATTAAAATGTAAAGAACCTTTACATATGTTTGATATGTGAGAAAAATTTTGTTTGTTTGGATTTGGATTTTTACGGGTTGTCAACACATAACTGGCCATATCGTGTCGAATGCTATAATAGGCTTAAAATGTTATGTAAAACTTTGTAAATGACAATAAAATGAGCCAATTAGATCCAAGAATACAAGTTTATCTCTTTCAAATAATCAATGATATTTTTTATGGAATTGTATTAAAGAGTTCTTTGAGTGAATTTACACAATAAAATCTATTACGGGCCTGTGAAAATTCATGAGAAAAAGAAATACAATAGATCTACTATATTTATGTTGGTTCACCATTTTTTATCAATAAAATGATATAATTCTCATTTTTTATGTACTTTAAAATCGCACCTTTCTTACTTTTGTGTCAAAATGATAGTAACGAGAGCCTTACGACACCCTCTAGGCATCCGTTAATAATTGGGCATGTTAACGATTATTCGTTAATTACGAGAGCGTCGAGATAGCGGTGAAAACCTTAACGAGAGGTATACGATAGTCGTTATGCTAACGATAGCTTCGAGATACTAACCCCTGATCTTATATAATAAAACAGGTAGTGGTTTCGGCGAACTTAAGTTTTATGGTGCAAACAATATCTATTGTATAATGGGCACGCCAATTACTATGGTTTATCACACATTTTCAGGAATTAAAGACAAGATATTGAAAATTAAACCTATTATTTATTATTTTCTTTAGTATAAATACTATAATAGTAATATTTACATAAAAGCATTACACAATAGAAAAGAACAACATCATAGAAATATATACACGTTTATAAGTAAAACCTGAAAAAAACAAAATAATGATTTAAAATTTATAACAAAATATTGATGATTAAAACACTTTATATATATGAACAATGTAGACCTACTTTGCCTTTAATTACTATATACTGTAAAACACTTATTATTCGCGAGAAATCTATTTTCGCTAATATTCGCAAGTTTTCTAAGACGCGAATTCATGTTTCTCGCGAATATTTCACTTTGTCTATACACTTGTCCGAAAATGAACACTATCCGAAAATGCGTACACATGGATATATATCTGCGGGAAAGTATCGAAACCAGTTCTAGTTACATCATGTAGCTATTCAAGTGTTGCAGCATATACATATCGTACAGATTACTAGTATGAACTATTTACTTGTAACAATTTGGTATTATTGAGGAATTTGACAAAAAAATTCTTCGCTGCATATTACCTGTGTCAAGGAAGGTAACTGTGACTTGCACTAGAATTAAGTACAAACAAATAAATGCGTCTCACAAAATTTTAATGGTATTTCTACAGATTGTTCTAATTGGTACAAATACTTTAGCACCTGCGAGTTGTTTGTAACATTTCTATTTATTGTATCCTATTGTATTGTACTACAGTTTAAGCTGGAGGGTAAACATAATCGTTTACTACAGGTTAGGCAAATTACAGTACCGTTTAATTGATTTTCTTCTGCTTGCCTTTGAATGGCTAATCAGTGAAACTTTAACATAGTGAACACATATCAAATAATTATCAAACTTTATTGTCATATTTTTAGACAGACGGTTTCACTTAACAAGAAGATTAGCAAGCTATCAGAAAAATCGATACAGATATAAATGCATTTGTCGCACAATAAACGACGCAAAGTTTAAGTGAACGGACAGGACAGAAAATATCCGAATGACATCGGGTTTCCGGTTTCACATTTTTTGGGAAGACGCGAATTCATGTTGACGGGAAATAATTATTTTGGACATTTTGCCTCAAATTCGCGAAATAAGGTTCTCCCGAAATATAAGTGTTTAACAGTAACATAAGATCGACGAAACCACTTTCGCACCTCTTCATAAATTAAGTTCGCCAAAACGGTAGTTCGACGAAACCACCATAATTGCTCTGATAACAGTCAGAACAATTGCAACTTTTCGACTAAAAAATAAATACAGTACAGCTCGCGCGGAATGTACATTTTTTATGCTTCCTCCGCGATCGACGTTTAAGCAAACTCCTTAATCCACCGCGTTTTTCTGAGCGTAATCGCGGAGAAACAACCTGGACCACAATCGCGGAGTTTTAGAGAGTGTAAAGGTATTACCGTGGAGATTCTCCAAGAAAATCACGATTTATAATTTGATATTATATTTTAAAATTATCCCTTTTCATTAAAGTAATTTTCATTTTTCATTAAAGAAACTACATTTGTAATTATCTTAATTGTTATTTACTTTTGTTTTGAAATTTGTAGGTCCACTTGATTAATCGATCGTAGTATTTCTTGTGAACAATCTTCTTGAACACCGTACCGCTGAATCATGTCTACATCGTATTTTGTTTTTATACTTTATTTGGCATTTTTTGTTGCTGTTTTTAGGACAAGGATACTGTAGGTGTATATAAGTTTTTTTATGTTTTGAAGCGCATTGGAAATGTTGGCATATGTTGGAAATAGGCCTCGGAGCTAGATATACATGTACTGTAGATATATCCGTTATTTCAATCACCCGTAAATGCAGAGATTTTTATTACAGATAGCTCTGGTAAATGTGTCAACATGAAAAACTATAACAACCCTATTTATATTTTGTAAAGAAATAAGATCAACAGTTTTGAAAATTTGACGTGTACATGTAATACTACACCTATATTGTTTTATATTTTACATGCATGTTTTTTAAAATACGTCGGTCTCCATGCTTTGCTCATGACTTCACATATTTAATTTGGTCAACAACACAAATTATAAAGTTTCTTTTTCTTTAAGATTTTAAAGTTTATAAGACATTGGTTACCTGTTTATATACATGTAGTTCTTGACCTATACGTTTCCCAACGCGTACACGATGTCTATTTCAAATGTCCACAAATTTGTACAACAAAACTAGTACGTCCTCACTGATAATTTTATGTGTCAACAGCGAAAATTATAATGTCTTCACCTTTTACAATTCTCTATAATAATTTACGATACAATATATCTGTGTTTTATACAGTTTCTCTTCTCAATATAAATGTATACACACTGGTGAAAAACTATACCGACTTCATTTTCAATAAATAAGATTGAACGTTCTTTTTTCTCATTTAGTGTATAATGATATTGGTTTCAAAATACTTTTTATTCTATCAATCATTTATAATCATAAACGTTTTTTTTCCAGCAAGATGACCATGCATGGAAGATTTCAAGAGTTTCCAGAGACGATGTGCCTTATCTAAATAACTTCTTACTTGAAGTATAACTAATATATAATATTTGTTCTACAAAGGTTGACAAATAAAAGAAGTGAACAAAGAATATTATGAATGTTATACTGTGTATCATTGTTCTTTGCCTCCCCCCCCCTTCTTTTTTTTTTTTTTTAAAGCCGGCAAACATACATGTACATGGATATGACGCTTTACAGAAGGTGGGTATGTAATCACATACGGAGACATTAATATTAAGAACTATCCAACAGTAAGTCTCCTCATGGTAGAGGAACATATTTATTCAATATTCAACATTTGCACAGATGATATATTTGGTAAGTGAACATTTTTGAGTATGTTGTTTGACGTCAACGCCAATGACTGAGCGCCGTTTGCACATACTTATCTTTTTGCTCAGATGTGCACATGCTTGTCAAAAGTTGTTTGTTATAATTCTTTTTTTTGTAATGAGGATACATTGTGCCTTTTGATAAGGACCATCCGACAATTCCTAAGTTTTATCATTCAGAAAGTCTGTCTTGACGTCTTCAAAGCTTACAGTACATATCTTCCGAAGATCGACGCAGCCTTAATCCGTGAAATTTCTCCACCGAACTTCATATAATATGTAGATAATCTCAATCCAAAAGTACAAGATTAAGGAAAAGAAAAGGGAAGAGAATGTGAAGTTGAACTCTTAAGGAGAATACAACTCGCTTCTTTTTCTGAACTATTAAAACTGCTAAGGTCCTGAAATGAAAACAAATATAGGAATTATTATTATTACAAACACGAGTGTACAATTTATTTTCAAAGATGACTCGTTAGAAATAAAATGATGGGAAGAGACGATGGATCTAAAGATAAACATGTATATAAATGTATTGAATTTGATGATACGCAAAAACAATTAGGCCTAACATTAAAACCGTACACAGTTACTACAAGAACAACAACAACAATCACTTTTACAAAAGTTTAGATCTTCTGTTAACATGAATTGTTTGAAATAAATTCGTTGAAAGACAACGCATAATAGGTGTCTCATAAAATTATGAACAAGTCTGCATTCATCAAGTTTAAATAATATACATATGCATATGATATAATATACGCTCATCTCTATTATTATGTCATAGGTATAAATATAAACACGTGTGCAATGGTCCGGAATACCGGCCAGGTAACAGATAATATCCTTGCTGAAATCGAAAGTAGATCTACAACATACATTTACAAGAAACAATTTCTTTTATTTTGATCATTTTTATGAATTTTATTTGCACCAATTGAAAGAAAAGTCACGGAGAATCGCGGAGGACTGAAATACACCGTTTTTTTAGTAAAATACCGCCGCTTTCAGCGAATTTCTGTTTCCGCGACACCTCCGAAAATTGCGGAGTTTTATGGAGTTTCTCGGCGATTTTCCTCCCAAGTTCCGCGGAGGGAAAAGGAAAAAAGTACATTCCGCGCGAGCTGTACTGTAATGCCAACATGTTCCTGTTGAATTTGCAAGAAATACTTAATGACACCTTTAAAACAATAAATGGAAAATAAAAATAAAACGAAATTATTCCTACTTTCATATTACAGGGATCATTCTTGTCAGGATTTTATAGTGAGAGATTTTCTCTCATTTGAGAAATTTTAATGAGAGAAATTAGATTTTCTTGAGAGATTTACTTTTCATGATGGGCGAGGTTAAAATTATGGAATTTTCTAACTTTCTAAAATTACTGTACATATAAACATTGATTATCTAATGAGGATATAGATGTACCTCTGTTTATTACAGTGATTTTTGTTTTCACTTTTTTGATTCACCCATGCCTTTTCTTTTGTGAATTTTTAAACATAATAAAATTCTAATTGTGAAAAATAAATATAACACTTTCATTCTGAAATATAAAAGAATTATACATGGATATCTACTACAACTATTATTTGCAGCCAATGTTCCTAATGGACAACACTGTACTGTACAGAAGTGATTGTTGTGATTTGAAGAATATTTTTTACAACCTTACATTTTGTTTTCTTTATGATTCTCTTCACACACCTCCCTCCATTAAAAAATGTTCATTGAATATGTGACCTGAACACATAATGACAAATATCTCCATATCCACGAATAAAAACAATACCTAAAGTAATTTTTTTATTCATAAACATCATTTTTAGTGTTATAAAACACCTTTGAATAACACTCAGCTTCCTTTTAGTATTTTTTTTTAATCACGACATCGCGAAAATATGTGACAAATGAATATTTGTCTATTTTCCGCTGAAACATTCACAATTCTAGCTGTTGCTTATTGCAATTATATAAAATTAAATACTTTTGTTCAATAAAAGAATATTTATTATCGGCTATTTCATCAGGAATCGTAAAACAAATTTTTTAATTTGTTCTTTACGGCAAAATTTACCGTGGTTGATGTGACATTTAGAAGACAAATTTTACCGATATTTGGTTTCGACATGTCCATTTTTATGTTAGTCTGTGTCTAACAACTTTTATTAAAATCAATTAAAAGTGTTTTGTGTAAATTCTCGACTTACAGATAGATAAAGGTTACATTAGCCATCATACCGTATTTCTGTACGGTGAATTTGCGGTCTCCGATCGGCTATTATTTAAGGCTAAATAATTCAAAGTGTTGGACTACTTTTTGGAGTTTTTTACACCGATTTCATTAATAAACAATTTGAAATTAAATTCTTGATGGGAATCATAAATTTTTCATCATATTTTTGTGTGATTTTAGCATTCTTTAGATTGTGATCAGACATTTTTCGGCTCAAATTGCCGTGCGAGATTTTCTCTCATTTCACAAATTTCTCTGAGATTTTGGTGATTTTTTTGCGAGAAATCGCCCCCTAGAATGATCCCTGATATTATGAGAAACAAATTTCAGATGAATCATGACTCACTGTCATGCACTTTGATCATACCATTCAATCAATAAAATGCCACAATTCGGCATTTTGAAAATGTTGGCCATTAAAAAGGTAAAAGTAACCAATATTTGCACTAACCGTAAATGATTGATAATCCGGTTTCGTGCACAAATCTAAATCTTCTATGTTTAAATAACCAAACTGTTAAAATTGTCAACAACAACAAGCCTAATAACATTAAAATTGTCAAGCTGTCAGTTTTGTGTTGATTTGAAACTATTTCCTCTTCTTCTGTATCAACTGACGGTGACAGTGGAGTTTCTGTCACCTCTGCCATTGTGGAATAAATTAAAGAAATTAAAATTTGAAACGTCAAAAATCTCATTTTGTCCTCCATCTTGCACGCCCCCTATCCGGAAGTGTTTGCCGTAAGAATAACCGCTGTATGATTGTTGCAATCGGTAGGCAATAAGACACTAAATAAAATTTATCCTCCTTTTGTTTTAAGTCAATTTTGTAATATTTTCTATACTACGCGTTATCGAAAAGTAAATGGATCTACATGTACCGGATGAAAGAGAGTTGTTTATTTTGAGTGACAATAGTGAAAATAAGCTTCAAATGTACGAAAAATTAAGACATTATTATAAAGTTAATTTTTAACTGATAGTTTTTAAGACTTATCTAATTAATGTTAAAACATTCGCATAAATTATTGAATGAATATATTTAAACCAAACCGTTATACACGTTAGTATATTTAACATGCAAACTTAGTTTTATTATGATTATTTATATTTATAAGATCTAGGCATTCTAGGGATTTACGCATTCTATGGAGCTACATATGTCGAAAAGAAGCGAAATGTAAACAAAGAAGTATTTTGACTTTGATACAGTATACATGCATTCACTTTAATTATAGTAATTGATAAAAGGCAACAGATGCAAAAAAATATAAATGGCCAATAACACGCCCGGCAAACTGTCGCTCCACTTCAAATTGTGGTACGGTAAAACGAGCAACCGGCATTTCCGAGATAGAGCGAAAGGCCGATTTAAACGGCTAATTGTAAGTATTCTTTATGTTTTTGTCTTGTAATTCATTTAAATTGTTTTTTTTTTCAAAAATAGATCAATGTAGTTCCTTGAAGGATTGACTTAGGCTTCCAATGATCTAAGCTGTTACCAAAAGAAAATTATATTAAGCCCGGGAAAACTTCACCCCCGTGCAATAAGTAACTTTTTTTGGTTAAAAAAGAAAAGTTTTTGAAACATAAAATCAAAGCATTTCTTTGGCTTAAAGACACATTATGTCTCACAAATGAATACAATTTGCCTTCTTTAGAATGGACAAACGTGAATTTTATAACGTTTATATAAATATTTAAAATGCATGTTTAATGCTTAAATTGTTACATGAATAAAGTATAGCAATTAGTGTGAAATACTTTATCGTAAAAGTAGAACAATGTAAACAGACTAGTATTTTGACTTCCACTTCTAGTTATAGCCAAAAAGCATCAGAAGAAGAAGATGGTTCAAGTAATTGGCCAATGGGTAACTTTTTTGGAAACTACAAACGGATAAGAAAAACAACTTTTGGGACTTAAAGATCCTGTAACACAAATTTTATGGTTTTATAACACACATATGATGCTCAAATTAAGATTTATCAATTTTGTAAGTTCCAAAAAGCATTATTAATAAAGATATTACCGAATTTAACCTTTCATGTAAATAAAGGGAGGTAATAAAAATTTATTTTCTAAAAAGTCTCAGTCAATTATTTCAATAAGAAATGAATGCATATATTTTAATGATTACATAATTATAATATGTACAAATATTTGCATTACATATTTTACATATTCTTTGATGTTATAATATTATTTTATAAGCATAATTATATACGTATATATATAATTTCACTTAAGTGTGGGATGCAACCTCAATTACAACATACTAGATCTTAAAAAATAAAAGTATACCAGGGGAGTCTTAGGCCTTTAATGGACCTTTCGACTTTACTCAAGATGATGAAATAAACTAAATCCCAGCATTTATTACTTACTATTTTTTACATTTTAAATTTTGTAGCGCACGTATAGATTACCGCACTGTCTATTCATGACCTTTGCCCAATCGCAACTTTCAAGCTCAAACACAAAAGATACAGTATTTCGGTCTAACCTATGCACCTACAGACTTCTGGAATACATGTACCTCATATGTCATCCTAAATTTTGACTTGTAAACGGGGAGACAACTTACTGCAGGAATAATTTGTCTATCATTCATTTATTGATTTTGAATGTAGATCACGTGATTTTATTAAAACGAAAATGGGTTTTATGTTCTAATCTTCTATCATAGAAAAGGTACATCTAATGGTTTAAGTATTATCTTTTGAACGTCGTGCAGATATTTAACAATTCTACTACAAAACTGCTGTGTATTTTTTTAAAGTACAAAATTAATATGCAAACATTTATACATTAATAAAATAGTGTGGTATTGTGTGTCTACTTTCGATTTGAAATGACAATCTACTCGTATGAATGTGTGCTCGCTCATACTCTATACACATTACGGTCATTCATTGGGAGAAACATAATTTAAAGGTCTTTTTTGTCAGGTACGTGAACACCAACCTACATTTTACATTTGTATGTGACTCATTAGCCAGAAATACTTTGTTAAGGGATTAATAGTCCAACTAATTGTACTAAGCGTTGTCACATTTGCTATTTTATGTATGGTCAGTATCTCCCTTCAACGTACAACGACCGGACGTTGAGCGCTAGCTTTTAACTGTCTTAAACCATATTCAAACTGATATTTTAAGATTTGTTTACGATTATTTGAAAGAGTATTCATTTCTAAATCTGGCTTTAGCACATGAATGTATTTTGACAAAGGGTTTAAGAAGCGTTACATATATATGCTTATGCTTAACATTTTAGGGCCCACCCCTCCCCCAGCATCTGTACCCCGAACATAGCAAAGACCAAGACATGTTATCAGTCATGTACTTGAAGAGTTAATTTTGATGTTTAAACTTATGATAATTTACCTCCGTACAATTTCCACAGAGTATTATTCCAAGTTTTCAAAAGAATTGAATTTTGTACCGGAAGTTTGTCACTGTTCAGCGGCAAATGAAAAACTTTTAGTAACGTGAAACAATAATAGAAAGGTAAGGTGAACCATGGAAAGGACTGTTGTGTCATCAAGTCGCCCCTGCATATTAGAGGCTCATGCTAACTATGTCAGTTTCGACCTAGTAGGTACATGTAGATAGGTTAAGCTGTTTCTTTATCTAAAATTTTGTTCAACATACTATTTCAGTGCTGTTTTTTTTCTCTCCTTTTTTCACTTCTAGGGAAACGATATCGGCTATGGTGGGGGGTGGGGTGGGGGGCAAGGAGGAATTGTGATAACATCGATGTCCAGCAATAGGGCAAACATATATATCGTTGGGGAAGGTGAGTGGGGCAGAATTTCGTCCTCACATTTTGACCCTAAAAGACATTGCACTTACATCTGAATTGCATGGATTAAAAAAAACATTTTGAATGCTTAACATCTGTCAGACTACCCTTTCGCCCTAGTTTGTATTCACAATAAAAAACAAGTGGCGAAGAAAATGTACTTTTCCACTTTAAAGCCGATGCAGAAAATCTTGTTCCGATGGACACAGTCGCGTTGAGTGTTCCTTGTTTTGTGATTCAATTTCCCAAAAAGATAACGAAACATTCATTGTCGGATTGTTCGGAGGCCAAACACCATGTGGCGTTGCTTCAAGTGAAGGAAATGAAAAGGATTTTGACATCGAGTTACCGAAAAAGCAATACACTGCCGAGAACTCGAAATGCGTATTTGACTCTAAATCTGGTTTATTTGCGGTTAGTGATAAAAACGCAGACATTGTGCATATAGTTGACACAAGAAACGACACAAAAACATCCATTCAATGTGAAAGTATCATGCAGCCGAGAGGTTTGGCATTTGGAAAAGATGAGACTGTATATATATGTAGTGGAGGTACAGACTCAATTGTTATGTTACTGCAGAAGGACGCTTGTTGAAATCTCACAAATTTGAATGTAGCACACCCTTACGCTGTGTGCGTTTCAAGAGACCAAACTCGGCTCGCAGTCGCAAATATGGAAATAAACGACAAGCAAGTGCAGTTGTTTGAAGTGCATTATCACATATTCTGACTAGTGTAAAAAAATAGCTTGCTGTATATACTAGTATTGATATGTGTGACATATATTTCTATGACCGAATAGTTACATTGACTATATGTTTTATATGTTGAAAGGTTTCTTCTTATAATTATATAAATTTATATTCATAACTAAATATGCTTTATAACTGATATTTTTATATCTGAATGAAAAATCTGTTAAAAAAATATATCTTTAAGGCAGATTTTCAAGTGTGAGTATATACTACGACAAGTTTTACATGGCATATAATGTTAATTGAAAAAGAATGCTTCATCGTACATGTATATTCGGATATTGGTATCTAAGTAGGAATATCTACCATATAAATATGTCTGAACAAGTCAATTTTCAGCGTAAATATAAATTTATGATAATTAATATACTGAATTAAAATATTTAAATGAAACTATGTTTGTAAAATAATCATATTTATAGAAAAAATGGTTTATCAGAATGATAATGGTATTTCAGTAAGGATATGTGGCTATTTAATTAATGTCATTTTCAAGCGTGCAACTGCATTGTATGATATAAGAAGTGATTTAATCTAATTTAATTTAAATGCATATTCATGACTTTTTTTCATTATTTATTGAACACACGTGTCTTCCTGCAAATTGTTGCTGCATTTCATATAGAAATTTAAGAGTTTCGATTTTTAACGCTTAACTTTTCTTTTTGCATCCTGGTGTATTACATTGATTGAACCTTTTTTACGCAGAGAGATTTTTGTTTAAATTGCAAATAATATTTTGTAAAACATCATTATGTCTTGTAAAGATACCTGGATGAATAAACAGATTTGATCTAATTTTAGTATTATATGTTTGGCGGCAACTCCACTGATCAGTAAGTAATTATTGTAAATTGCATTTACTTTAGGATAATTAGCTCCGTTTTGTTGAAGTAAATCAAATACACTTGTAGTTCAACCAACAAAAAAGGTTAAAATTATTGCCGAATTGTAAAAAATAGCCCTCAAGAAGAACTATGGTACAAATAGTTTCTTATTTGAATTATTTAAATGCCTGCAACGACTACTGTACAAGACACGTTTTGTACTGGTAATATAAGATAATTGGCCAACGCATTGATTTTCATGTCCTTACTTATCTGATTTGTTTGCCGGTGCGAGAGTACTGCGTAGTAAAGGCGAATAATATATTTTACTTACTTATCTTTAAGTTATGTGCCAGACCTTTACATTACGATATCTGAAATTAGCTTTTAAGGTGTAATTTTCCTGCTGAAATTTTCAGTGCCATGAAAGGTCTGTTTAGCCTTCAGAATATCGTCTCTACGATTGTAATGGCATAAAGATTGGAAATATATTTTTCATTGGTTGATGTCATTTAACACAATTTAACACATGTCATTTAACACCTTTACTTCATTACCTATATTTTTATGATATCTGTATTATTTTGCCACAAATTGGACCAATGCCATTCTTTAAAACAGTTTGAGGTTATTTAAATATATTCCTAAGGTTCATAAAAATGTAATACTACTTATAGAAAACCCTGACACCTCTACGGTAATATGCGAATTGTTTTAGTGGTATTGTTCATGTTTAAGACTCGTTCAGTCTTGGTGGGTGATAATTATACAATGATCTAAAAACGTTCATACATTGGCAGATATTTTTTTTTAATAGTACAATTCAATTCACCTCATTTGAATGTTTAATTTTACATTTTTCGAACACATAATAACGGAATACGTTTTATATCGTTTTTCACTACAAGGACTCGACACAGTATTGGGATAGTGTAAAAAGTAATACTAGAAAAAATATATACTGTATATGTAATATGGTCTATATAATATATACAGTATATTTTTTCTAGAAGAACGTTTTACACTTCTGTATTCAAACACTGCGCCGAGTTCCTGTGTTTTTCACAATTGATATTTGTCAGGATTATTTGAAAGAAACGTGTTCTGGAAATTGCTTAAAAGCTAAATTTACCCCGACTGTAACTGCTTCACCAAAAATGCAAATTGTCATTTTGTCTCAATGTACCGCAGTAAAATTGAACTCTAAATGCGCAATGAAAAAGATCTAATCCGTTCTTTGTGCGAAATTTGGGAACGTTATGAGACGATATGTTGATAGCAGAAAAGAATACTTCTACTCAAAATGTTGCCAAATGTATTCTTAATCGGTTCTTTTAAGTTTACATAAATGATCATTATATCATTGAACTCCTTCGTATGTCGTGGCATTGATAAATTTTGAAAAGTACCCTTTATACTGTCAGTTCTTCGTGCAATCTAATTACACCAAAAATATAATCTTTTTTATTTGCAATAATTGAGGAATAACTTAAAGAACTTAATCACGAACTGTAATATTGCATTGAAGTAAATGGAAACACTTTTGGTATTGACATAAAGTTGATTAATTATCAATAAGAGAACAACGTACTTTACCTCTAAAGATCTCTTTAGATATTTCGAAACTTGGCTTGGAAGATTTCAATAAAAAAAATGCAACCGATTATAATGACAAATCTATGTTAGTGGTCAAATGGTTTTCGATTCGGGTGCTTTGTAGTCTGGGCTACGTTGCATTCATCTGTTCAGCTAAATGTTACAAATCGAGTCTACTTGGAAACATGAAATACAATGAAATTTCACATTGCTGCCGGTACAGACCGGAATATGTAGCTCTCGGGTAACTGTTTAGCGGAAACTCGACAGAGCCTCGTTACCGCCGTAAACAGTTACCCTTCGAGCTAGATATTCTAGTCTGTACCGGCAGCCAGTGTAAGATTCTTATAGTCTGACATGCAAGAAATAGGGGGTATTAAATGAGTGTAAGTTCAATACTGAATTTATTGAACGAGTTGAATAAATTCATATTATGTCTCTGGCGAGCAGAATATAATTTCCATTAACGATTTCAATAAATTAAGTAAAGAAACTTACATGAATTTAATATTCTATTTATAAAATATCAAAAATAAAGACCGTTTGAAGAGATAAAGAAACGTTTTTCATTGTTGCGTATATAGTGTAACGCTAACATTTAACGCGTTATATGTTTATATAACGCAAATGACGTCACGTCAAAATATATGCACGACTGTGCAATACCATTTTTACGGAGTCGCAAAAACGGCACGGGTATGTGATTAAGGAAGTGAAATATGTGATTCATAAAAAATAAACAGAAACTCCTTGATAAAGAGGGGTTTAACCCTTTCTCTCATGAGCATATTGGGAAAAATGGCTGTTTTCATTGAAAAGCCTCCTGTTACAAGTTCAAACTGCTATGAAACAATGAAAAAGCTTCCATACTAATCAAACTTGGCACAAATGTTGACTGGACCATTGCCTTTGTAACGACATGCTCAGTCTTAAATTTCCTGTTACCATGGCAACGAGGGGACATCTGAAAATTGCCAAAAATCACTATTTTGCGTTGATTTTTTCCATCAAAATCGATTTAAAAGTGTTGCAACTTCTCAATGGATTGAGATAAGGTCAAAGGCTTTTCAGTGTTGATTACATATTACCTTATGATCGCCCTGGGGTCATTTTAAGCCTCTCACAGATCCAAAATTTTCTTGGCGATGAGGGAGACTACCGCCCCCTTAATCCTCCCAAACAGAAGGGGGCACATACCCTTCTGTCAACCCCCTAATGTACCTTTTTGATAGGAGGCGGGGCCAAATAAGTCATCGCTTTTTTATCAATATTTCCCCGAAGAAAAAAACAGTATTTAGGGCCTAAATAGGGTAATTTTTCACTGTTTGACGCCTCAAAAAGGCGGATGTGGGGTCGAAAAGCCGTCAAAACACATCTATATGATGTAAAGGGTTAACAAAAATGATGAAAAACCTTGGAATTACCAAAATTCTAGTTTTTCTATATTAATATGTGGCCTTTCACCTAATTTTGGTGAAAAATTGTTGTTTTGTAGCATTTTTTTTATAATTAACGCATCGAAACGTTGGAGATTGAAAACTTTGTGTAGTAGATAATTTTACACTTTTCTACAACATTTTTTTTCTCTCACGAGGAATACATATGTATTTCAGAATTCTAGCACTATAGTTGTCATAAAGTCTTCCATGCTTTCTTGAAACGAAACGATGATTTCAAGCAATAACATTTGTTTATCCTGTTGGACATAACATGATGAATTATTCAATGAAATTATTTTGAAATTAAAAAAAATGTTTTGGAACTTTTTTAGGATTGTATAGCACAACCAAAGTCAGCCATTTTTAGTCGACAAATAGATGCGTTGTACTGGAAAGAGATTTGAACAACTAACTTTAATCTGATACACTTGGCAAGTGATTATAAAAAATGTTAAAGAATTACCTGTCCTTCCATTTCACGCATAGATTGCGTGCGCAATAAAATGACGCAGTTTGACAAAAAAGTCAATGTTTTCAGTCTTAATTTGTATTCTAGCTTGGGCATGGAATGTTATTGAATGTATTTAAAAAATCTTTCAGAATATAGGATTTTTTTATAGGGAAATGAATGATTAAAATTTAGATATGTGGAATATCACCGGAATTGTCGTTTGCTTAGCTTCAATTTTGTACGGTGTTGGCGGTATTAATTTTCTTAATGGTAAATACAGGAATGTTAATATTGTTATCCAAAACACTGTTGCTGAGAACGAGGTTCTAATTGAACGAATTAAGGTAATAATATGTTAATACAAGTATTAGTTTTATATAAATGTAAATGTTAGATGAAAAGAAAAGTGAAACCTTGAATTAAAAGTAACTTATTTAAATATATAAATCAAACTGCGTGAATGGAAAATTTGCCTTTAACAAAACCACTTTCGTCACTGAATGAGAATTTAAAAAGAAAGGGGGAAAGACTGCACTACATTGATAGCTGATTATATTAGATATATTTCCTTTTAAACTATATGGAAGATAATAAAACGCCTCTTAATGTTTATGTATATATCTCTTTTGAATATTTATTCATATAACTTGTAATTTATAAACACTTTCTCATAAATAATTTCAAATTTACCAAAAATAAAACTACATAAAAAAGATTATTCATACTATAATAAATCCTAGAAATCGATAACAGAAACGTGTTCAGTGAAAATAATGAGGCCTTTCTTTGCTTTTTAACTTAGCTGACTTTGTTTTCAGTTATTTTGTTAATTAAAAATATTTTTCTTTTGATCTGATGCCTTACCTTTACTTGATAAAGGATACACGCTAGTTTAGTCTTATTCCACGAAACTTTGGAATCTGACCATTTTATTTCTTCCTAAAAAATTAAAATGTACTTATGACTGAGAAATTCAATAATTAACATAATTATTTGAATTTTAACAAATACAATTATACATATTTTGTAGTCAAATTTTTAATATTTTGATAACGAATTCTTAAAAAAAATTTATTCTAGGAATTACGATTGTAGAGCACAACCAATGACAGTCATTATTAGTCGATCAATGGATATATTGTACTGGAGAGAGTTTCAACTTATTTAAAATCTGATACACTTGTCAAGTGATCATTAAGTTTAGATATAGAAAGTCCTTAAAAAATACCTGGCCTTCCATTTCATGCATGCATTGCATGATCAATAAAACGACGCAGTTTGACAAAAAAACCTCAATATTTTCAGCCTTTATTTGCATTCTAACTTTGGGCATGGAGTGTGATTAAAAATCTTTCAGAAAAAGGAAACTGATTTTTTTATAGGGAAATGAATGATTAAAATTAAAATATGTGGAATATCGCCGGAATTTTCGTTTGCTTAGCTTCAATTTTGTACGGTGTTGGCGGTATTAATTTTCTTAATGGTAAATACAGGAATGTTAATATTGTTATCCAAAACACTGTTGCCGAGAACGAGGTTCTAATTGAACGAATTAAGGTAATAACATAATAAAAATTATATTAGTTGTGTATTAATGTAAATGTTGTTAGATAAAAAAAAGGTAATAATTATATGTTAATACGAGTATTAGTTTAATATAAATGTTGTTTAATGAAAAGAAAAGTAAAACATTGAACTAAAAGTAAATTACTTAAATATTAATCAAACCGCGTGGACGAAAAGGTATAATTTCAACAATACCTCTTTTGAAACTGAATGAGAAGTTAAAAAGAAAGCGGAATACTGCACTACATTGATAGCTGATTATATTAAATATGTTTCCTTTTAAACATTTTGTATATGAAAGATAATAAAATGCCTCTTAATGTCTATGTATATATCTTTTTTGAATAATTTAAATTCTCTTTCTCATAAATAATTTCAAATTTAGCAGAAATAAAACTACATAAAAGATTATTTATACTTTAATCAAACTTAGAAATCGTTAACAGAAACGTGTCAAGTGAAAATAGTTAGGCCGTTCTTTGCTTTGCTTTTCATTTAGCTTACTTTCTTTTCAATGATTTTGCAAAATTTCAAAAAAAAAAATCTTCTTCTATTTGATCTTATGCCTAGCCTTTGCTGAATAAAGGGTATGCTATTTTAGTGTTATTTCACGAAACTTTAGAGGATGATTTAAAAAATAAACGAACGAAGGTAAATCAGAACTGTGTATAAGTTACTTGCGCTTAAATTGACCTGAAATAACAAAAAGTCAAATTCAGTTTACTCGACAGCGAAATCTGTGACCCTTATTTTTTTTTCACAGAAATTGCTTATGCTATCATATTCTACAATCATGCAAAGATTGAATGTAACCCATTTTGCAACTTTCAATCGGCCATATCTCTATAAGTGACCTCAGCATATGTCTTTGATACTAAACTTTTGAGCTAATATTTCCAATATACAGCTGCCATACATAATATTGATTTTAAGTTTATTAAAACCATTGATATTATGGTTACCAAAGTGGTAGCGAGAAACCCTTATTTTTATGTATGACTTCAGCAAATTTTTACCAACGCATCTCAGCTCCTTTTCGAAGCGACACGGTACCAAGTGTCTTTTGGACAAATTAACATTATTATACCCAATACATGGAGCTCGAAACCAGAATATCAGGAGATACCCGCTCTGTCCGAGTTAGACTCTTACATCACCGTCGATGATGGAAAGGTTAAAATGCCTCATACTAAACGCAAGAGAAAGAAGTGCGGCTCATCTGGGCGTTATATCTTCTTACCGGAAAGCTTTTTATTGGAAGAAGGGAAAACAAAATATGGACACCATGGTAACTATGTACAATAAGGATACAGGTTTGCTTCTTTAAAAAATAAGCATGCGAGAGGTCTTTTTGCTGCTGTGGTTCGATAATATTTGGGAATGAATTACAATTATTTAATAGAATAGAATTTATTAAATATATTGAATATAGTATCATAATGAAAATTTGTTTTACACTTCATTTTTTAAAATGTTTTGAAAGATTATATGCCGGAGAAATTGACTTTTTTTCTTGGCTCAAAAAGGGATATCTGTTCAACAAAGGGAACTTGTATCATAGTTTGGGGACCTTTCTGTTGAAAATGTGTCAGAGTTAAATCATATACATATAAATGCACAGCGAGTTAAATGGAGTGCGGATATCAGTTACCCGCACTCCGGAGCATGTCCATTGATTGGCTCATTTTTGCTGGGGTTTACTTATAGTGACGGCAGAGAAAGGGAAAACGACAGAAATATCATATTCAGATGCTCGTTCATTGGTTCCTTTTTTCTGGTGTTTCATATTGTTACAACAGGGAACGTGTTTTATGTTTGACTATGATACAAAAGAGAAAGAACATCAAAACAGTCGGCAATCTCATTAATACATGGGGGCTACGCCCCTCATACAAATCAGATAGCCTCATGTTTCGATGCTCTTTTTATTACTAAATTTGAAATAAATGATATATATATAGTCATTTATATATATAAATATATATAAAATATATATAATATATATTTATTTTATGCTTTTCAGTGGATTACTGATTTATCCGTGAAAATTATATTTGATAATTTCACAGTGAAAATTATCAAAATATAATTTCACTTTTTTCAACGACGAAACTACTTTTTAAAGATTTTCCCCATGTGGTACCTCAATTTTATTTTTACTGATAATTCTGACAATATCAGACTGTTAAAAAAATAGCAAAGCTGAAATAGATAAATAACTTAAATGTTAAAAGTAATAAAGAGAGAAAACTTACTTCTATTCCTTCAAATTCCAATCACAAAATTTCGTCTCTAAATTTTTTTGTTTTGTTTTTACAGTCTGAAAAATACATTCCTTCCCCATGCTAAACTGCTCTTGATGACATTTGGGCATATTAAAGTATCCTACGAGCAATAACTGCCGTATGCTTTATGAAAAATTGAAAAGCATTGACAGCCATCACTCGTAAAATAAGTAAAACAACCCAGCGTTCCTTACAATGCCTTAGCAAGCTTCCAAGTTTTCCATTTTCCTAGCTCCTTTTCTGAATGTTTTCACTTCTGTCAACACTTATTTTTTGTCTGTTATAATCTTCAAATAAGTTTTCTTTCTTTTAAAAAGGTGTATGACTAACAAATCCAAATTATATCCTTCTGAATCTTACACAATTATTTTCCTCCCATGAAATACACAACTTTAAAAAATGGCTGCCGCTTACATTTTACAAAGCCAGGTCTAATATAAATTCGCAGTAAGTAACAGAAATATGGATGGATGGTTGGACTTTTTCTCCTACAAGAATTGTTTGTTTTTATTATTAAAACAAGCGATCATTCATATTTTTTTAATAAAATGAATAAATATCACCGTCATTTAACCTTGATTGGCGGACTTATTTTTCAGCTCAAGACTTCTTGTTTTTAATGAGAAATTCCCTCCAAATGGGGCTCTCAATGGGGGAAACAGATTTTAATATTAACGTTAAAATTATGGAAATTTCGTTTTAACTTGTTTTAAAGTATAAAATAAAAAGAAAATTTGTCTGTTTGTTGTGTAAGATGTAATTTTATTTCATCTCGTGAACTTTAAAAACAATATTCTCACTCGTGGCTACGCCACTCGTGAGAATACTGTTTTTAAAGCCCACTCGATGAAATAAAATTTCATCTTACACACAAACAAACAAATATCCTCTATATGATAACATCTCCTTTCGGTATAGACCGGAATATTATGGCTTGAGGGCAACTGTTTACGGCGGCAACGAGGCCCTGCGGACTGCAGTTACTCGAGAGCTAGATATTGATGTCTGTTACGTTTACAACTGTATTCATAATGGCAAAATGACGTCATCCTTAGAACGCAGGTTTAAAAAAAAGCGCATGGGAATAACGTCATTGAAAGCACGTGACTTGACAGGTTTTCCTAATACAGTAAACAGTAGATAATCCTGTTTGATATGCAACAAATAATTGTTGTCTTCAAATTATCATTAAGGAAACTAACGCTATAAATAACTGATTTTTTGAATACTTAAGCCCATTTATATCTGAAACATAGAGTTAGAGCATGTCAAATTTAGGCTTATGTACAGACAATGCTACATTTATTTATAACTTGTGTTTAAATTTAGACTTTTTCTCAGAATGAATTTTTCTAACGTATTATGCTATTTCATAAAGCAAACGTTGTGGTTCATGAGTGGGGTCATTTGAGATGGGGACTATGGGATGAATACGGAATAAAGAAAAATGGAAGATTTTACTTAAAAGATGGTGAATGGAAGCCTGTAGGGTAAGATCATTTCTATTGAACCAACGTATATCCCTTTTATGGGTATAAAACTGGTGAAAGATTTCGTACATCATTAGTATTTGCTTCAATCAAAGTGCATGCCAATAGCTAGGACATCACACGGCCTGTGCACATATAATAGACGAAAGGCAATTTCAACTACATTAAATCGTGATACTGCGAAAAACGATTGCCAAACCCCACAAAAAATTAATTATTGGATATATTTTAACTGTCTGTTTTGTTTTACATATCCAGATAAAAATGAGTTCAATATTTAAAGAAAATTTTAACATACAATCAAAATCTGGCTATATAAAATTTAATGCAATAATGGTTATTTATGTTCTTTTATTTATTATTCTCGAACAAATGCTTACAATTAATTATTCATATTACAAATGTTTGAAATAGATGCAGTGCGCAAATTACGGGTAAAGTTGGCAGAGGATCACAATGCACTCGAGGGATATCAAAATGTGACATTTCTAACACTGAAACAGTTATTAATGAAACTTGCAAGTTTTGCCCTGATGAATCACAACCAATATCCAACATGAGCTCCATAATGGCATTTAATTGGCTTGATGCGGTATGTGGTTACACCTTTTCGTGGCATGATGCCTTGATAAATGCTCTCAATCTCCACTAGTCTTTGGTTCTTTGCATTGTCTTTTACAACGTTATCAACCTAGATATGTCTGTACTTTAACGAAATGATGTTTCGTTTTCCCATTGTTCTTTTATCATTTTTTTCCCTAAATTCGTTACCAGGTAGACAAAAAAACTATCGTCATGTACCCTTTCTTTTTAAAAAGATAAAACATTGACCCTTTACAGGGCAAATAGGAGTTATGAATTCAATTTAAATACTAATATCACGAAATTACTGATTAAATCTGGTTGACATCTTTAGCCGATGCCTCAAGATGTCTTTTTTAGTTTGATCATTCAATAATATATTCCGGCCTTTGAAATAATAAGAATATCTTAACTAATTTTAAAAAGTTTTCTTAAGATTTGCATGTAACCGTACATGTGTATTTAAATATCCCACACTTTCCTTGAGGGAAATGTTCTATACTTCCATTGTATTTGCATGTCTCAGGTTGTTACTTTCTGTGATCGTGAGAATGACACAAGTGTTCCTGTTCACCAAAGACACAACAGTAATGGCAAGAGTAAACAAAATTTGAAATGTAAAGGCCGTAGTTCCTGGGAAGTAATGAGGGACCATGAAGACTTCAGATCAGGTCATCAAATTTATATACGTGCAGCTACAAATTGTTTTTTGTTGTTTTACAAAACTCTTTTAGGTTATAGCATAATACCGTTTTATTCTTATGAATGCATTGTAACCAAACAACATATCTACTCTGCGGTTAAAAGGAACTGAGGTTTTTGACATGACATGACTGGGAATATTTGCAGAGACTTGTGTATAATTTGATGTAGGTCTGGAAAAATTACCTGTGTGCAAAATTTTGATATCGTGCTCTCCCTTCCCCACCCCGTCTTTCCAAATTAATCATTTTTGTTATACAAAGTGACACAAAAATGAATAGTTTTGCATTTTGAGTAGATGTCTTATTTTCCTTTGTATACTTTTTCCATTTGAAATGATTTACTTGATCTATTTAAGAATTTCAAAGTTTACGTTTTAAGTCATTTGAACCCCAGTGGAGCTCCTTTAAATTTATCATTCTTGCTTTCAACGCTTCTATGAAATAATTTGAAATAATTTGCTCATCTATATTAAAAGTTCCCCGAACTGGGCAAGTTAAAAAATTTGTTCTCTTTTGTGGGGTTTCACTGGGAAAATTTCTTTTTTCCACACAAGGAAATTTAATTTTTTCACTCTTCATTAAAAGCTCCCATATGGAAAAACATGTTTAAAAAAAAAATATAAACCAAAAAACAAAAAGGGAAAAGGGGGTCATCCAAACAAAAATAAAAAAAATGAAAAATGTTTTGTTCAAGAAAAAATTTTAAATTTTTTTAAACCCAATTAATTAATTTTAGAACTCAACTATATTCCTTTAAAAAAAACTTTGTTTTAAAGGTTTAATTTAACATATTTTTATTTTTTTTTCAGAAAAAACCCTTTTTCCAACATTTAAAACAATTTTCCAACCTTTGGGCTGTTACAAGAAACTGTTGGGATATCGTGTTTTGTATTTGAAAGTTTTTGGAAATATGAAATTTTTTTTAAAATGAAATTTTTTCATTTCAAAATAAACCTTTCTTTTAATTTTTTTTTAAAAAAAACTAAAAAATTTAAAAAAACTTTTTCCCAAATTTTTTTTCAATTATTAAATTTTTTTAGGTTTTAAGACTAACCAAAAAAGGTACAAGAAGTTCGTAAAATTACCAAAGAAAAATAAACCCCACAAAAGTTGGCTTGGCATTTGGTTTTATTTTAAAACAAAAGCTGATCCCCTTTTAAAAAAACCCTGAAAGCCCAAATAAAGTCTCACAAGATAGAGATGATATGAAAATTGAAGTTAAATTGTCGCAAATGGTGGTACTTGTATTGGATGTGGGGTAACGACTGCTTTACGGTATGTTTTTTTAAAAACTCCCTTTTTCCCATATAAAATAAAAAAATAACCCGTTGAACCCAAATTAAAGCAGCTTTTTTTCGTCTGATTCAAAAAATTTTTAGGAAAAAGGGGCCTGTTTTTTTTACCAAAACCTTTACATTTAGAAAACTTGAAAATTTTAAAAAACCCTTCGGGGAATTGGGCTGTCCAAAACTTAAAACAGTGAGGATCAATTGCATAATTACAAGATGAAAAACAAAGGATAATTGAATGTCAATAAAGTTTTCTTTTAAGTCCAAGGGCAAATTTCAAGTCGGAAATTTTAAAATTTAGCTTTTTTTTCTTTTTTTAGGTTTTTTTTTTCACCTGATTTTAAACCCCAGAGAAATTAAATATCAATTTAATCTTTGTATCACTAAAATTGCTTATAGTTTTGGAAAAGAAATTTTAATACCCCAAAATGAACTTTTTAAGTTATTTTGACTTGTATCCAAAATGGTTTGCAAAATAAAAAATTTTTAAAAACTCTTTAAAAAGAGCTTTTTACTTGAAAAGATTTTATTTTCGATTTGTTACCTGTGTTAAAATGTGGAAACGGAAAACATAAGCAATTAAATTAGCTATATTTTATAATGTGTTATCATATTCTAAACTAGCTTCGAGTTTATAAACGCTTAACAAAAGCGCCTCGTACTCCGATGAAATGTCTAAAATTATTTTTTAAAATATTTGAATTGTCAATTTGACATTTTAAGAAAAATGATTTGCACATTATTTACTTTGTATAATATATACATAGCAATATTCGTTTAATTTAAAGAAACTATGGTAATTCTGAGATGAATGATGATAATAGATATTCGCGAAAACTCGGAAGTTAATGTCTTATATGAATGTATGACTTAAAGCTCGATATATTTACTGCTTAATAAATTATATTATCCGAAAAGCATCAGTGACAGCTTCGTGCATTTGTGAAATGTTTGCTGTATAACAGCTGCATAGTGTTATGCTAATTCAGCAACATTCTTCCAGAGAATTCCCCTCTTTGTTTTAACCGGATAAAGAAGCAATCTTCGACCATTGTTGTAAAAGGCATAAAAACTATTTCGTGTTTTTCATAATGTATGTACACGAGACAATAATTTTATCATATACCCGTATAATTTGCAAGCATATAATGCCCGCTGATTTCAATTTTTTAACATTACAACAATAAAGGCACTGGTGATCTTTAAAAAATATCAAGCATCATCAAGTTTAGTGCAGGTGATATACACAATTAGATTTGTAGTTGACAATTTGTTGAGCATACATTTATGTGGTTATTATAGTTGCTAACGACCAAACTTGGCGATCCTGCCGGATCAGAGATTATAGTGATATCAGATGGTCAAGATGGTTACGCAAGTATCCTCGATAGTGCAATACAAGATGCTGTTGACACAAGTGTAACTATACACAGTATTTCAGTATCACAAAATGCGGATACCCGAATGATATCGATGGCAATCCAGCAACAGGTGGCAGCCATATCTCTCTTATCTTGAGGTTGGAAACAATAAGCATTGCCTCAGCATTTACGGAAATAATTGTCCAAAGTTGCAGTAAACATCGTTTGCCACAGAAATCAGGTCAAACGGTTTAAAAGTAACAACAAAAAAAGGCTTGTTAAAAATTAATTTCAATTATTGATTTAACGAAACAGATCCAAGTAACTGACAACATTTGTATTGAACAAAGTAAAAGAATTTCTAAAATGCGTTAAAGACAATAAAATTTGAATATAAAGATAATATGTGTTTTTAATAAATTTCAATATTTGAAATTGGAAATTAAAACAGATTTTTAAAATTTGTAATTTTTGGATTAAACATTGGATAAAGCCAAAAAATCAACATAGTGGTCAATAAACTGAATAAAATAAATTTCGCCTTTTTTAAGATAATGGCAGAACAGTTAATACCGCTGGATTATCAAAATAACATACAGACAAGTTTTGATTATAGACAGGCAGCATAGGAAATAGGTACCTCTGTAAAGCGATATACTTCAAGGGCAGCTCCAAGCGTTTTCTGAAAGGTTTGATGTCACAAGTCCGGATGGAACTGTTTATACAAAACAAACTTCTGACGACAATGTTGTTTTGGACATACCTGGTACAGCCATTGTAAGAAACTTAACTTATAGTCGTTTACCATGAAAATACCATAAAACACAAAACATATAAAAAACCGAACTTTCTTGGTACTCTATGTAAAAATATCTGCGTCTATGGTATTTTATCATATTTGATATGTTTAATTAATTCAAATTTTATAATTTCCTTATATTTTTGCATATTAATGAAGCAAATGTATATGTATACATGAACTCGTCAATGTGAGTACACTTACGTCATGAGTACACTTACCGAAACATGACAGCTTTAATTAGGATCATATATTGCAGTGTTTTCTAGATCTAATTTTTAAATGCTTTGGCAAGACTTCAAAATAATCTATGCAAATAAATACAGTTTAACCTCGTCCGAGTATCTTTTTTAAAGATTCTTCTTTACATATTTCAAGTTGTTCAAACATCCATTTACTGTCACATACATCTATGCACGTTTTAGATCAGGATTAAGATGGTTAGGAACTTCCCTGATAAAACTAATTCATTTTGTCATGATAGGCCGGGCAATATAATGTTTCCATTGAATCAAGCACGTCATCTTTGGAGCTTTACGTTACATCTTTACCTACCGACGCGGAGGCTGTTCGTGTCTCTTCATGGATATCTCCAGTGGATTTTGACTTTTCCTCTGGTGAATTACCTGTTGTTGAAGCCGACGTAATGAAAGGAAGAGCGGCTGTTTTAAATGCGATTGTTACAGCACTTGTGGAAACATCAGCTACTAATGATTGTACAATTTCATTACTTGATGATGGGGCAGGTTCGATTTTATCATATTTTTAATGCTAAATTGTTATGTTAGTTGACCGTTGTGACAATTTGTCAATTAGCAATACAAAACGTCAATTAGCCATGTAAATAGAAACAAGTTTCTTTTATCACGAAACATGAAAAGCTTTGAATTTAAATACCAATCTGCGCCTAATAATGGAAGTGAACAATAATAGTAAAACATTCGACCGATGCGCAGGAAAATTATACCAATCTAACACGTACATGATATTAATTTAGAAAAACAATATTTCGTCACTTGGATGAGTTAGTTTTGTTCAATCCTTCAGATCCTGATGATACGTCTGATGATGGGGTATATGCCGGAGTAATTCCAGCATTCTGTATCGACAGAAATGGTCGTGTGAGTGCAAAGGTTTAATGTTAAAGGAAAGAAATGGCAGCAACTGTTGCCGGATGTCCCTTCAGTGGTGCAGGGACAGCCCCAGATTCCCAGGTTATTGTAACTACTCAGTTGTTTCATTTTGTTACTTAGTATTTCGAAGAAAAATATTAAAATAATTTCAAATTTTTGGATTACATAAATTCAAGTCAATTGTATTTTCTGTACTCTTTCCAGTTATGACTGATAATTTCTATTCAAGGGATGGCCCCCGCAGGTATTCAAATTAAATATTTTCCTTTGGGCTACTGCATTTTGGGAGAGAATGAATTGGACATAAAGTTTACAGGTACATTGGGTTGGTAAACCGCGTTACAGAATAATTGGTAATTTAACATATTGCAAGATGAAAGAGGAAACTTAGTAATGAATTCTAACAAAGACAACTTTCCAGCGCCAAAGTGTTGCAAATGGAAATCATTAGTCCAATTTAATTAAATGTTAGCCGGTTTGATGTTACTTTGCAACCAGGTCGTAATTAAAACAGAATGTTTCTATCAATAGATATATCTACAGAAAATACTCCTTATGGCGAAAGTAGAAACTTTACCATAACATGGACGGCAACCGGCGACGATGTTAACATTGGGCAAGGTGCACATTCACTAGAGTTTCTTGCTTAAATAATAGTAATGATAATATAACAGTTATATCATTATAATTATGGTAGTGATAGTAATCAGTATAAACGTTATTCTCGTTTTTGTCATCATCATAATTAAAATTTTATGTATCATTTTTGTTCTCATATTCGTGATAAATCATACTATTATTATCATTAAACATTTATTCACAGACAATTGTACATATCTCCATTTAAGTTATGTTATTTAAAAGATGTATTTCATAATTGGACCTGCCTTTTACTTTAAGCTATGGAATATGAGATAAGAATATCAAGCGACAATTAACATTTTGACAAACGATTTTTCCAATGCTGAATTGCTCAGTTGTTTCTAATACAAACTTCACACCGAAGGCTTCAGGTGTAACAGAGTTCCTAAGGATAGAAGTAAATGCAGAAGAGTCGTACACATCAACCAAATATTTCGCTATCAAGGGCAAAGGACGAGGCTGGAAACGTAGGTGATGTTTCAAATATCATTTTCGATACTTGTTGCCAATGGTTACCGAATAGCAATAGAAGGTGATATAGTTTACTCTCATAGTAACACAGACGACGAGGCTACAGAAGAGGCTGTGGTAGAAAAAGAGAAGAAGAAAAATCTCACTATACTTGCCGTTGGATTATCGTCTGCAGCAGCTGTAATTGTCATAGCAATAGTTTGCACTTACAGTGTGCGTTAAAAAAGCAAAAGCTAAGGAAATTGTACAAGGTACAAACGTCTCTTTTCAAATTGATATTACATTTTATGTTACAGCTATGTACATGTAAAGTTACAGAATGTAATTTAATGGCTTAAGTAGAGTTCCTTTTTTACAGCAATTTGTGTAGCAGCTTTCATTCGAACACATTATTTCTGTCTGCAAGTTTCAATACATTCGTATGTCGCTATTAACTTAGTCGAACGTTATCGAAACTTTACTTTTCAATAGTCATAATTCTTATATCAATATTCACAGACTGTGAATTCGGCAGCAGGACAAAAGGGCCCCCTCAATAGAAAAAACCCATTGAAAAAACCCTTTTTATCTGTCCCCCCCACGAACCCCTGTAAACGAAGAAGGTTTTCCCCGTCGTCACAACCCTTTAGACTATTTTCCGAAAAAAAACAAAAAATTTTTTGGGGCTGCCCTCGTTTTCTTCAGAGCCAATAAAAAATAACTCTCCCGGGAAAAACGGAAGCATTTGGAAAATTTTTAAGTCACCCGGGTTTGTTTTAAATTTTTTGACATGTTTTAAGGGGGAGAATAATTTTCCCTTGACGGGAAAACACCCCAGATGATGACAATGGAACTTAGTTCAGAAATTTATCACACATTTGGTAAATTTAAAGTGATACCCTGCTCACTTGTTGGGGAAAGCCAAAAAAAGAAAAGAGTCAGATGTTCTACCAGGAGAAATAAGTGAGGAAAGGCTATCTCCAAAAGGGGTTTTACAAAAAGAAAAGTAAAGAGGGTAATTTCCCAAACATGGGCCCCCAAAACTTTAAAAGTCAAAGGGGTTCATGGGGGACAATCAGCAGAAGGGGAAAAAATGGTAAATCCAATGGAAATAAAAGCGAGAATTTTTTTGCAGTGCTGATTTTCCTTTTCCGGGGAAAAAATTTCAGAACAGAGCTACAAGATGATCGGAACGGTGAATCAACTGAAAATTTTGCTGTAGCTGCTGAAACTCTAAGTTCACACGACACCGGCAAATCAAAACCGAAAAGATTCAAATTTGAACGACATCAAGAATATTTTGATGAAAGGTCCATGACAACTTCAAATTTGTCGCTCGGATTTCCAGTTTTTGATTCGGGCAGAATGAGCAAAGAAATAAGCAAGATGTATGAAGATGTGTGCCCCTAAAATGATGGATTTTCAAATTAAAGTGAATATTTTCAAAGATTTTATATGTTCCAAATGATTAATTTAAGGCGTATCTATCTTTCCAAAATGTACATTAATTTAGATCTCGTATGTTAGATTGAAATATACCTAAATCTTTCCTAATCGATCAACACAGTACAGCAGAAAACAAGCCAAAAGATACAATCGAAAAGGTCCGAAATGAAATGAAATTTTATTTTGAAAGACTAGTACAAAGTTTGAAAAAAAATAGAATTAAGCAAGATGTACTTGTATTAATATATGTAATATTTACGAATAGGAAAGTTGTGATTAGATATATCAACAATGGTACTTATACTGGTATTCAATATATGAATAAATCATTATCGCATGTCTAAAGAAAAATGTACTAAAATTCATAAAAAGCTGTACTTCAATAATTTTGCGGTATAACATTTCCATTACTATTTTCATTTTAACACATGTTTAAGTGATTTTATTAATTTCATAATAAAGTCTTTGAAAAAAAATTTAACTGATTGATACTGACAAACAACACTGCAGCAATTAAAGAAAATTTTGTAATATGGACATTTAAATATATATTTCAATATTTGAGCTATCTGCTTAAGGCACTAATTTATCTTTATGAGACTTAAATGTTTAAATATGCATTGAGTTTAGATGTTCTTCCAATCAGCTATGAATTATATTTTTAATGAAACTAGAAAATCGGTATGTTTATCCATTTTGAACCATTCTGAGATATACTACGAACTTGTATGAATTATTTCTTTATACTGAAGCAGCACGCTTACTGTTTAACATTATATTGTTCTGTTTTAGGAAACTAGGGAAGTGTTGTAAAATAATTAAGATTTTGCAAATTCTACAAATGAAGTGATTTGGGCTAGCCTATTACTGTCAATATCCAAACACAAATTTATAATGTCAATATATGCAAAAAATATTTATTTGTTATAAGGAGTTAATATGTCTATATAGTAGTTAAACAAATGTCGTTCTGCATGAATTAAAAAAGTATATCATGTTTTGCGGATATTATAACATTTCGTTTGTATTATTCTTAAGTTATTTTTATTTCATCTATCGATATATCTATTCTAATATTTGTTATTTAGTATTCATCTTAGAGTGTATATTCTTTTAGAATTTGTCTTTTTCACTTAATATTAAATTAATTAGTTGTTTAAATACGCTTAATTACATATTTTATTAATAAACTTTATTGTTAAAACTGTTACCTTGTACTGGGAGTAAAATAATATCTGATGTTTGTTTAAATGCTTGTTTGTTTTCGTAAAATTTAACTCTTACACTATTAAATACCTATAATTGTCTTATCCAGCTTTGAATTTGGAAGAATTTGTTTTATTGAGAATGCTGTAGTGTAAACATAACATCTATTAGTCAACAGATAATAATAGTCTGTCGTAGGTCTGGTCGCCACTTGCAGTGAAAGTGTAAACATGTTATTCATTTTGTAATTTCTTACTTTTCAGCTATTATAATGAAACCTTTTGCTTAATTTTTTTCTATCAAGAAATAGTTTGTTACCTAAAAAATGATATTCTGATAAGTCTCAAATTTTATCCGAACATCGTACGAAAACGGCAAAAAGGAAGTTAAAATAATCATTTAGTGTCTCATTTAAACATAATTTTGATAAATAATACCTTAAAAGTTGATTTAAACGAATTTATTTAAATAAAATTACTTTTTTATCCAAATTATATTGTTCAAAGGCCAAAGGTTACTTATTACATGATATAAAACCTTAAACACCATGAAATTATATTATTCCAATTGAAAAGTTTTGCAAGGCATTTCTATGTGTAATTATATTTTTCGTCACGAAGTATAAATCAAATTTGTAAAAAAAAGCATAATATATGTAATTACCTTGTTTTTCAATCTCAATATCTGTCCTTCAAATTACATAGGTATGAACTGAGATTTATAATTGTGTTTTAAGTTTTGCAATAGCCTGAATTATCAAAGTTCAAATATTTTATAGTTACGATATAAAGCATTATTTGACTGTCTGTTGGAAAACTTATTTTATTCTTGTTAACATTCGTACTAAATATATTGTACATTAAATACAGAAATATCTTAAGTAAAATAGTTCGAACTTTATTAGTCTGTTTTAATATGTCATTTAATCCACGTGCGAATATGAACAGAGACCCATTGTGCTATCTCAATGCTATACCATAAGAATATAAAAAACAACAACGTGATTGTAGAGAAGTTGAAATTATTAAGTTGTGAACCAGTATTAGCTTTAAACCTTAAAACAGTATGTTATGGAAAAACGTATTAACAACTATCGGTTTATAAAAAAGAATATTTGAGTGAAATTAAATTATTCATGTATGATAAACCGTTTAACGTATATATAAACGCTTTATAAAAAATAAGATTACGATCGGAAATGAATATCTTTGTCAATGTTTGTCTGCATTTAAGTAAAGAAACAATAAGAAAGTTGGAATAAAAGAGCAATTTAGAACGTTTAACGTAGTTTACCTCAAATGTGCACTTGATATAGTCCTTGTAAAATGTAAATAATTTTTAACATACATGGATTGTATATAACTGTAATATTCCGAAACAAGATATTCAACTGTTTTATTAAATAGTGTTGGCTATAATTTTGTGCATTAATCCGCCGCATATAGCTCTCGACGTATATAGCTCTCCGGGGAAACCTTATTACTATTGCCACAAATGAAGCCCCCAATATACAGGAGCTGAATACGTCAAGCTGCCTCATATTGACGTATTAAGCTCCTCATATAATAATGAGTACATCGCCATCATCAACAACAGCATCATAATCAACAATACATCACTATCGATACATCACCATCATAAATACCATCGTAGTAAACATCAGTTCATCAACATCGATCAACGCAACATGATATTCATCATCATGATCAGTTAATAATCATCAACATCATATGCATCATCATTATCACTTGATACTGAACGAAATATCAAACTGATTGTAACCAAATGAGATAAAGAAATTTGGTTTCAAATACATTTCATATGGGATATTAAAGTAAACGTGGTATTTATAATGGCGAAGTAATTATGATGATAGATATTTTGATGGGTATGATGATTGTAATGATTATTTTGATGATGATTGAGTTGATGGTGTTTTTGTTGATATAATAACATGGCAGCACGCTCAAGTCCAGTTAATCGTTAATAGCTAGATAATAACAAAGCAGAATAGGATCCATTATCCTGTAAAAATAATTAAAGAGGCTACCCAGCCCTTGATCGGAAATAAGTGTATCAAGTTTGAAGTGAATAATTGTATTTTTTCTTTTATTAATAGCATTCCGATTGCAACAGTAAAGAAGTTGTCCAATTAAATGGACAGCTTTGGCCTTTATACAAATGCATATACATGTTAAGTATAAACGGAACTTACTTTGCAAAAATAATTGTAGGATTAAATGGTGTTGAAGAAAATTGTGTTATAGTTAAAAGTATCTAAGTCAACAATAAGGCAAACAATTACATCATACTTATTTGAACATCTTACGGAAAAGGTAATTGATAATTCTATATAATGCATTCAATCAATTATATTGGTATTTTTGTCCAACAACTTATACTTCTAGGTTACTGTAACAGTTGTATTTTTTTAAATAGAGAAGTGGAAAACTTCCTTTGACCATGCAACTTTGGCCTTTGGCCATGCTAATATCACTATCATGTGACAGATTGGACTCATGTGAATCATGTTGTTCGCTAGAAAATATTCGCCAAAGTACAAATCAAGATGTAGAATGCCCACAATGTATCACCTCAGCTGTCATAATGGGCTGTAATCAAAGTAGAGGGTATTATGTTCTAATGCTAGGAAGTTTCCAAAAGACCAGCTATTTTTATTAAACTAAATCACTTTCCTTCGCAAGTACTTCGTGAATGACAAATATCAAATTACAGTTTGAAAATTCAATTTAGTTTGTGGAACGTTCTCACATACGTTACATAAGGTCCATCTCAGGCAAATTCTTAACGCATATTTCAGTTGAATATATAAATTTTGTTTGTATAAATTATTGGGCCAAAGGTTTTGTCCTCCTTATTTATCAAAAACAGCTTGAGACAATTTTATTTTGAAACAGACTATACGACATTATCTGAAAAGGTAATATGAGTTATTCTGGCATTGCGTGCGTGCGTACGCGCGCGCGCGCGCGTGTGTATCAAAACAAATAATCAACAAATAAAATTCAAATAAAATAAATACAAACAACTGTAAAAAATAAGTATAACCTTTATTTATTTACAACATTAATAATGAATTAATAATGAATTCATTAGTTGACTTTAGTACCATTGGTACTCTTAAATGACTGTACAGTGAACTTGTTACACAACAAAATTGATATATATCAGGACATATGATTTTATTCAATGTTGTCCTTCAAGTCCCATGGTAAATTATTAATACTTTAGATTTGACCGGAACACATCAAGCATTTGACTACTTATTTTACGGATCTTAAGGCTTCGTAGAAAATATCACATAGCTATAGCCTGATTTTAAGTTATGCAGATGATCCTTTCTTTCCTGTATAATGTACAAACTTTGCTCGGATGAATATTGAATGCAAACGTTTACATTTTGGGGTAAACGTAAAACACTTTCCAGTAAACAGTTCCAAGAACCTGCACTCATATTAATCTCTTTCAGCGTTATTTCTCTAAGATTCTGCATTTTCATTGGATCTACAAGAATGTTTTCACTGAAACAAAACTTTTCTAAATGTAGCTGCTTTAAATCAATCAAATTTGAAAGCAAATTTTGAATAATTTTTGTCACTTTCTCTTTGTGTAGATAAAGCCATTTTCCTGTCAAATATAGACATTTTAGTTTTTTTGATCGTTTTAATACCGTACAAACACTTTCTGAAATGAAGTTACTTCTTAGGTAAAAGTAACAAGTTTCAAGGTTCTGAACGCTAAACTCGGTCATTGCTATTGTATTAAAGTCATAATCTAAAACTTGCAGCTCACGGTGTTGAGATAAATCAATGTTATGAGAGTCTGGATAAAACAATGTGCCATCTGGATTATCCGATATTTTACGTAAGGATATTTGACGCAAGTATTTAGCACTGCTTAGCCACTTACTTAGTTTTATTTTTTCAGGAAATGTTAGTCTAATGTTCTCAAGTTTAATTGCTTCAAGTTTGTTCATATTTGGTAAAACCGAAATTAATAGTTTTGTTACAGAACGCATTGAGGTCGGAAAATACATGTTAGTAGCTCCATTTCCTTTGAATGATAGGCATGTCAAGAAGCTTCTGCTTCTTTTTATTATACATTGTAAAGTTGTATCTAATTGAAGATCGTATACACTAGGACTAGACACCCGTAATTTCAATGTTGACATTTTTGTACTGAGAAATGGATCTTTAAGGAATTCGAAAATTAACCGCGGTAAAGGGGAGCCCGAAATATCAATATTTAGAGATATAATCAAGTCAGGGTTGACATATTTTATCGATTCAACATCAACCGTATACAAAGGTAGATACACAAAATCTGACAGAAAAAATAATCTTCCGGGCTTTTCATCGTGCATATTTGCTTCTTTTATAAAAGAAAACAAAATATTTTGTATGTCTAATGCGTATTCCTGGTGACCTTCCAAGCATTCGACTGTAGTAAGAAATGACCTTTTATCGGGTTCAAAAGGCCAGTAAGAAATACTTGTCCGATAATTGATAATAGCCTGGTCTTTAAGAACAATGTTGTACACAAACTTTGAAATATACACAGCAAGATATGTATCAAAGCCGCATAGGAACATGAAAACATTTGATAGGTCTAAGATGTCGATTGTTGTTTTGCAATCTTCAAAATACTTCTTGAAGCATTCTAAGTTTTTGTCTATTGTTGACAAAAGAAAAGGCTTAAAAAGCTTTGGAGCACTTCGTTTAAATTCAATGAATATATGTAGAGCACATAAAAACTCTTGCATGGACTTGTGAACAAAGGAGAAAGATAACAGTTGCCGTCTGCTTAAACTAAGACCGACGGCACGTTGCTTCGAAATAATACCAGTCTTCAGACTATAAACAATGACTTCATTATGGATGTTAAGGTTTTTGAATGTTGAATCGTCAAATATTAGAGATGATTCTTTTCTTGTCGTGAGCAGGGTTGCGTATGCCAAATGAGCAATGTTTTTTATGACAAATTTCAGTTCTGGACAAAGTTCCCGATAATTAAATTGATCTGGTATATAAATAATGTCTATATTCGATAATTTATCTCTTAAACCGCTTAAAACATCTTCATTACCAGTGCGAAGATCTGTCCATTCAAAAAACATCCCTAACATTTGACTGTATATATCGCTTTTTCCAAGGCAACTTAATTTATTGTCAAACCAGAGACAAATTAGCTGTTGCAGGATTATTGGTACAGACTTCATTTCATTGTCTATTTTAGAATTTAATAAGCAGTTCTGAAAGCCGTATGTATTTTTCTTAGTATGAAACATTTCGTTAAGTGCACCTATTGTTTTTTCTATCATTGTTTTTTGATTATCAACACCACATAGTTGAAGTTTTATTTGAATTTCAGCATTTTTCAAGCCAATACTTTCAAACTTCCATGGTCTTGAAGTTGTTATGATAGTATAACCTTTGCTCAGATTACGTCGTGGAAGTCCTTTACTTTGAAATAGAGAAGTTTTTGGTTCTGTCTTGAGTATCCATTCGTCAAGTCCATCCAGCAAAATAAGGCAGCATTCTGGCTCCTGTTCAAAGATTGTTATTATGACTGGGTCATCATAATGAGAAAGTATCATTTCCTCAACGTGATCATAAGTATCCTCGTGACGCAGTGGTAAGTAAAATAAGAACTGGTATCGTTTCATTTCTTGTATATTCATTGTTTCCTCTGCTTCATTATCAGAATGTGCTTCGCACCAATTATTTATCATATTTATGCAGAATGTACTTTTCCCGGACCCCGCCTCTCCGATCAGATAAATTGATTTCTGCTGCTTGCCGTCCTTTCTTAATATTTGCTGATATGATTGAATGCGTTCATATTTTTTATTTTTATCTTTAGGAATTATTTTTATCAATGGATCAATATAAACTTGATCAATACGTACATCACAGCGTTCTGGCTGGAGAAGGATTGGTGAAATGTTTACAACATTTTCAATATACATTTCTATCAAGCGTCTTCTGAAAGCTAGTTAAAAGAAAAAACAATGTAATTAAATGACAGGCGATTATTGCTTTATCATTTTAGATATTTAAACAAAATACAGGTACCTTGCATTATGCGGGATCTGAATTTGTATTATTTCGAATATCTTTGAAATTTATTCATAATGAATATGTATAATGGTTTTAAATATAACAAATAAAGAAATTACAATAGTCATTGGTGGCATTGTAAGGGTATTTTCATGAAAAATAACTAAAATTATGAATACTTTAAAAAATAGAACTCTGTACAATTGAATATATTTGTTCTAACATATGCTTAAATGTTTTAAGAGGATATATATTTGCCTACCCTCTTTACTTTGCACGTAAGTTAATTTGCTATGTTGAAGTTCTTCCAAAATTTCCTTCTTTGTGTCGGTAACTTGCTACAAGAGAATAAAATTAAGTTATCTTTATAGACATTGACTCATTGGTTTTGTTTTTATTTTCAAATACTCTATGTTATTGTAATTTCAATGTGAATTTTAACAAAAGATTGTAGAATTTGAACTGAAAGTATTCACAAATTATATGATGTTCAACGTTGAGAGGGAATATCATAATGTCAAACAAAATGGTACCTCTTCCATTTCAACAATCCGTTGTGATGTCGATGCAACCGCTGTCTCCAAATTTTTTGAAACAGTTTCTGCAGTATCTGTAATACGCTCCATTGCAGTTTTCTTCACGTTTTCTATTTCATCGCAAGCTGAAGACTTTCTTTTTCTAATGAATGTTATACAATCCTCTGCTTTTGCATCTGCGTCTGCTTTAATCTGATCTCTAACTTTTTCTGCTTTGAGCTCTATGTCATTTATAATATCACTTCCAGTTTTCTCGATCGAATCCAATTTTTTCTCAATTTTAAGATTAATATCCTCACCGGCGGACTTGAGTAATTGTACAGTATCTGTTTTCGAAAGCAGTATTTCATTAGTTGCAGCTTCCACAGTTTCTTTTAGATTAGTTTCCTTCAAATCAATTGCGGCTATAGCTTCCCGCATAGAATCGGCTTCGTTCACAGTAGATATGACGAAACGTGAATTCTTCAGCTGAAAGATAAAAATTACAATAAAAGAGAATTTAACTTACTTGAAAAATTGAATCTCAGCCAAAAAAAAAATTTTTTTTTAAACCTTTTTTTAAAAAAAATCGCAAAAAACCCTGAAATTTTTTTTTTAGATGGTCAAATAACACTTTTTTAATTGAGAATTCTATTTAATTTTATTTTAAAACACCCAAAAAGGGTTAAAAATAAAATCTGGGAAACACTATTTAAATCAAAGGGGCTTTGTTAGTGATGGAAAATTTTATATATTGGTTAATCAAATCTACAAAGCATCGGGGTTTCAAAAAATTCAGCCAAAAAATTTCCGCATTCCTTTTCTTTTTAAAACAAATAAATTAAATGTTAATACCTCATGAAGCATTTCAACTGCAGTTATAGATTCTGGTCTGTTTAAAAGCTCTTTTCCATCTTCAAGAACAGCAATCATGTCATCTATATACTGAATGAATTCAATATCGTCCATTTCCATAGAAGTCGAATGAAAAATAGCATTTCTTGCTGATCGGGTCTGAAAATCATTGACTTACGATTACTTTTTTAGGTTATTGGGTATTGATTTATGAATTAAAAAAGAAACTGCTGTTAATGAAATACATATACCTATTATTTGGGAAATGGAACGAAATTATGAGTTTGTCATTATACAATATTGCAAGGTATGAAGCATTATAACTGTTAATCTTATTGAAATGACAAATTTAAAATTGCTGCACATGGTCGTTTGCATTGTTTTATTTTTTTGCATTTGCAAATAACATTGTGCCATAAAAAAACATTTTAAATGCTATATTATATATACATCTATGTACTAGATTCAGAAGCATGATCACACATATGAGAAAATTGTTATAGTTATGTGCGTTATAGAACTCATTACGTCATCAAATTAAACAATGATAATGGCATGCAGGTATTTGACATTATAAAGAATTATACTGTTTTTGTGTAAGACTTCCATGTACAGAAACGACATGTTTATTTCTTAGCATGATTGTTTAGTTAGTGTTTCTGAGTACCACACACAAACGATGATCCGACTGACAAATAAATCCTACAAAATTAAGAAGTAAAACCCTACCTGTTAATGAATCAACATTTCTTTGATACACGACAATTTAAAATATGAATTTTTTAAATTTATAATATAACGGTTCATGCATTTCAAGTGTATTTTGAATGGTAAAGGGATGTTTTTAATCTAACTTTTATTAAAATATAGAGATACAATTTTATGCATTGCATTTCAATTTATTTATTTAGCATATTTAACCTTTGTACTGACCTTTGAGAAAACATCATGACCTGTTATTTTACAAACAACTTTCGTCTGTAGGAACTTGCTATTTATAAACAGATGAAGTAGTCCTGTACAGTCAATTTCGGACGCATTGGATTTAGATGCATACCCCGGAGCATTTATGTAGCACTTTGCCACTTCCCACTCATCCGTGCACCATTTCTGTACGCAGGTATTTTTCCAGAACGGAGCTGGAGGATTTGAATCATGATTTAAAATAATCTGGTCATAAATTGCGCCACATACATTATTCGGGCATGCATTTTTTCCACCAGGATATTGGCAGTTACAATCTTTGCAACCGAGAGGACACTGTTTATTTTTGTTTCTGACATGGTCCGGCTGAAGTTTCTGTAAGATGCATTGTCCACAATTGACTGTTGTTAAATTATGCTTCCGCTTAACAGCATTTACAAAATCATCATGCTGTTGTTTAACTTTCTCATCTGAGAATATTTGCAGTCCATCCTTCAGATATTTTAGTCCCAAACCAGATTTTACCCAGTTTCTATATTTCGGATTTTTCAATTGCTGCTGATGATGAAATTGCTCCGCCATTTGTAGCTGTATCTATATTCGTCAGTCTATTCAAATCTGTTTGATTAAATGTGTCATTTTTACCATCGAGTTTTCTCGATTCATCAGTGGATAATTTATTGTTTTCATCATGGTTAGAAAACTAAACCTAAAAACAAAAGGTTCAAATTTTAAAGTTTTCCCTTTTTTTAAAACATTAAAAATTTAAAAAAATTAATTTTAAACTCAGTCAAATAACAGCAAAAAAGAAAGAAAAAGAAGTTATTGATCCAATGGCGAATGTTATCTGTAAAAAATTAGGGTTTCAAAGGGAAGCAATCGGTAGTAGAAATTTAAATATTACGGAGGAAGGTCACAGGTTGCTTTGGAATTCACTTGTTGCTAAAAAATTCAATGTTTGCAATGGAAGTCAGTGTTTGTAAAGGTAATGATTGCTAAATTTGCTATATAAAGCCTATGGTTGTTATGTAAGTAACAGTTACTAGAGAAAGGAAACCCTATGAAAGTCAGTAGTTGTTCCTACAGATTTTTTGCTATGTAATTCAAGGGTTTATTATTCAATTGTCTACTACACAATGTTTAATGCCGGACATTTAAGCTCTTCAGATTTTAATTGATACATATAAGGAAAAGCCATGACCACAGGGCATTGTCAATTTTAACCCAGGGGTTATTATGTTAACAACCTTGAAGGAGACCTTCTGCAGAATTGAACGATGATGTTGCTTTCATAAAATCTAAGCTGTAGCCTATATAGTTTCAGAAGAGATTATTTTAGATATTTTACTGTATACATTCCTTTATATGGAAAACCCATAACATCCGGGGTAGGCTTAATTTTACGCCAAGAGTTACTCTTTGAACAAACTTGGCTAAGGACCACTAAACAATGTTTCAAGCTCTAGCCGCTCGAATGATAGTTTTATATACTTATTTGGATAAACCCTAACCCCCCTTGACTTGACCAATTTTTACCCAGGGGGTATATGCTAGTAAACCTGGTATAGGCCCACTAGATGATGCCTGGTTCGTGTCAAATATCTAAGCGCGTGTGTTTTTGAAAGAATTTCAAATCTTTAAATATATTTTTTATTTCGGTTGCAATAGCAACGAGAGTTCAGCATTTTTTTATTTTAACAATTTGAAAGACAATTGCCTGAAGATTATACAAACAGCTTTGGTATTTTTGAGGAAGTTGTTTACGTGGAGATTTTATTAAAATAAATATAAACTGACAGACAGACTCTGAAAAACGGACGATGAGTCACATCCATAGTTCACCTTAAGCAAGTCGGCTAGTACGAGCTTTAAATAAAATATTAGAACTTAGCGAAATAGTTTCTTTTTTTTCAGCATTATGTATAAATCAATAGGCTTAGTTTTCGTTCATAAAAATACAGTTCCTGGTGTTATTTGGTGTCAAAACATTTGTTATACTATTAGTATGTGTAGTCCCATTCATGTCTAAATGAGACAATAAATCATTTAGTTTTGCCTTGCATCAACGAGCTTTTTTGGTGTATATATATATGTATATTGTTGGTTACAATTATGTTGGGTATGTTAATTATAGGATGAAAAAAAGAATTATTTTTGGTTTTGATAGACGATGGCGTGGGTTTGTAAAGGCGACAAACATAACGGTGAATTCTATATTAGTGCGATGGTGAAACCACTTAAGCGTTGTTCAATCTAGTTTTGTTAAACTTGTCATTCAACTTCATTGCATCGTGCATTATGATATCAAAGGTTTCGATTTTATATTTATAAACAGATTATATAAACAGAACATCGTAGATAACGCAGGACAAGTATGTACCGACACTTTAAAATATTACCTAAATTATAGAAAATGTCACAGCGACAATATCATGTTGCGATATCTTTTTGAAGTACGTGGATAATAAACGTTAACACATTTTTACTAACTGTAAACTTATTTTGAAGACAAAATATCACTTTACTTTAAAAATATCAAGCTTTGTGTTTAAATGAGGTCATTGACGAATATATTAATAAAAAAATTTTTTTGGCCAGTATCTAAAGAATTATTATAATTTACTTATCTATGTAAGCTAGGGTTTTTTAAATAACATACAATGGATGCACTGGTTTGACAGTTATCTTTAATTAAAATTTCATTCGTCTTGGCTAATTCTTTTGTACCAGAACAATTGATTATTAAGGCATAATGACAAATATTGGAAACGATCGACTAAAGTTAATAAGTGTGTTTATAAGTTAGTAGAATTTCAATTTGAAAAGTAATAATCGTGGTTATTCAATAAAACAAAGACACATATAGGGAATACCATGCAAAAAGACACACAAATTGAAAACATGATATGGAATACCAAACAAGTGTCCAATATTATAAATTTTATCAAGCAGAGCTGTATACGAAAGACCGGCAGGGTAATTTCAACTTCATGAATTCTCGATTTCATCTTCATGGATTCACAATTTTAACTTCGTGAATTCCCGTTTTCAACATACATAATTCACGATTTTACTATTTTAGCTTCATGAATTCCCGATTTCAACTTCACGAATTCACGATTTCAACTTCATGAAATCACGATTTCAACTTCATGAATTCATGATTTCAGCTTCATGAAATCACAAAATCAACTTCACGAATTCAACTTCGTGAATTCGCAATTTCAACTTCGTGAATTCACGATTTCAACTTCATGAATTCACAATTTAAAAGTCATGAATTCACGATTTCAACTTCGTGAATTCACGATTTCAACTTCATGAATTCATGATTTCAATTTCTTGAATTCACGATTTCATGATTTCTTCTTGAATTCACGATTTCAACCTCACGAATTCACAATTTCAGCTTTATGAAGTTGAAATCGCGATTTCAACTTCACGAATTCACGATTTCAACTTCATGAATTCACGATTTCAGCGTCATGAATTTACGATTTTAACTTCGTGTATTCACGATTCAAGATCATGAATTCATGAATTCAACTTCTTGAATTTACGATTCATGAAGTTTTGAATTTGTGAAGTTGAAATCAAGTTGAATTCGTGAAGTTGAAATCGTGATTAGTGAAGTTGAAATCGTGAATTCGTGAAGTTGAATTAATGAAGATCAAATCGGGAATTTGTGAAGTTGAAGTGTCCCAACCGTTCTTTCGTAGCTGTGCCGAGCACTTCATTTTTTCTTGCCGAAATCTTATGATATCAGACACTCGTTTGGTACTCTATTGATCATGTTATAAATTAACGCTTTCTTGAGAGTCTAATAAATAGTTTAAGTCAATTGTAAAAGAGACCATAATATTTTTAAAAATCTATTCGATTTAAAGCTTATCAGTTTAACATTTTCAAACCAGTAGGGGGTAGAAATATTTCGTTCTCTCTCTTCATTTCATTTCAACGTGAATTGATAAGGTATCTGATATAGCTGTGGGGTGACTGATAAAGCTAAATTATTTGGTATGCAGTTTATCAACAGAAAACAATAAAATGACATGGTAAAAATGTATACCTGTATATAGATAAAGGATTGTAAATCATTATTCATTATTATAAAATATATCTATAGACATTCATTAAAAAATTGTCCATGTTTTTCATCTCGAGTAGATCAATGAAAAAATAATCAAACATTAACAAAAAAAAATAAAAAAACGTAAACATTTTAATTTTTGATTATAAACAAAGGTCAGTGATATCCAACATTGATGATGATGATGAAAATGGTGATAACGATGATGATGATAATAATTATCATATCGATTATATCTTATAAAAACAAATTTTAATAGTAATTATATTATATGTGTATTCATACTATTCATATCATATTTTTATCAAACTATTTCAAACAGATATTCAACGAAATAAATACAATCATTTCCTCAAAACATGATATAAAGAGAATTTGATATATTGAAGAAAAAAGCGATGAAAATCCAAGAGCTATTTCAAATAGGACTTACCAGGAGTCTGAACTGTAGTATTTCATTATATTTGTCCAATTATGGTTGTATATCTTAAATATTTGAGCAGTTAATTTACGTCTGGAAAATATAGTACGTCCACAACAAAAACAAAAATTAATAAACACTACCTAACATTCAAAGTATAACGAATTTAGGCACATCTAAGAGTCCGGCATCATGCGATTTAATACTAAATACTCAGTAAATATTTGGAAATATCTTCACATGATATTTCTCCTTAACATTTAAACATATAATTAATTGTAAGGACATGCCAAGGACTTTTGTTTATTGTATATATTGCGCATGCGCAAACAATAATAGAAGCCGACTGTAACCAATCAACATTGAAAGACTCAACAGATAAAATGAAAAAATAATATCATAGGTCGCGTTGGAATAGCTTGGTAACTACACTACATGAAACAGTTTAATCATACATGTTATCAAGTAAACTTAGGTCCCCGACATATGGTTTTCACGAAAAGTTTAAATCTCTTTTATCAATAATTTTGTAAATTGTGTGTTTTATACGTACACTAGCTTGAATATTAAAACATTACAAACATGGTTTGTTTAAACAGATACATTTTAGTTTGTTTACTAACAGAACATTTACATTTAAACATAAAGATTACTTCCATGAATGTCCCAAGTAAGGGGTTTCAGATGCGTTTGTTACCTTTGTCTATATCTTTTTACAACACTATATATTTGATTATGTCTGTAAAATTATTTAGTTGTATATTGTGTGTATATTTATACAATAAAATATTATTAAACTAAAACATATTACTGCACATTCAATGCTACATTCTTCAATTGATAACATCTAACATGCCATTAATCAATTATTAAAAGATTTAAAACACATGTTTGACATTTCTAAAAAAAAGTAATGAATTTTAAGGCTTTATGTACGTTTGAACACGTTTAAACATTACTGTCCGGAATCTTTGCATAAATGCTTATGGCGAAGGTATTTCTTGGACTAGGTTGTTGATTCTTTGTAAGATTTTACGATGATCTTGACCTTTGTCTTAGTGTCATCAAAATAGGAGAGGTTGTAGATCTCGTTGAGGTACATGCACTTATGTTATTTTGTAGAAACATTTTCATTTCATGATCAAGGATAAGATTCTGGGACAGGCAGAATGACTGACAGAAAGAATGACCGACAGGCCTCAAGACGACAGCCAATGCTTGCTTTGGTATATAGGCACAGCCTACAAACAGACGGCAGGTTATGCCTATTTTGGTAGGAGTTTGTTTAAATATATTTATCAAGTGACAATACTACACAAAATTTATACAATATCATAATAAAGTAGATTGAACTGAAAGCAAAAAAGCTTATTGTAATTCTCTCCACTTCTAACTAGGCTAGACATCGGTAAGTCTTTTTCTTTCTTTATAAATCTTGACGTTTTTTTTTTTCGTTCTTTGTTATATTTCTTTTAATTTCCAATAACATTTCAATGTAAGATTTTCCTTTGAAAGTATATTTTCAAACTCCGCTCCAAGGCCCAGTTCAACAGAAACACATAAATGTATTAAAAATGTTCCATATTCAATATGAACATGCTAAAGCTGATCTGCGACACATGTAGGCATAATTAATAAAACATATACTTAAACTATACATGTGCACACATTTAAATTTAATGCTATAACATTAATAAAATGTGTGGAGCATATATGTGTTTGTAATAAGTTTTCGATATTAAACTTTCATAATGTAACGATGGCGGCTCGTGAACTTCGTGCAAAATCCTCGGCAAATTAAGACAGAGACCAAACTAATCTATAAAAACAGTACTAGGTTGTTTTCTGCATCGTTATTGTGTGTGATTTAAATCTTAAATGATGTCGTTTTCGTCGTATATCATATTATTAACCCTAGGGTAACAGTATTTTTATACAGTATAAAATCTGGTCAAAAGGTCTATTTTCTAAAGGAAATAAAATAAAACCATTATAAAAAATCATCACAATTATTGTTCGGGGTAATAAAATAAATAACACATGGGTTTGTGTGTAACAGTAAAAATGTCATCCCTCGTAAAAATACTGTTACCGTCGGCTAACACCTAGGGTTTCCTCGTGATGATATTTTTACTGTTACTCACAAACCCATGTGTGATTTATATACTATCTTACAAAAACAATTCTTTTTTACATGTTGATAAACATGAAATAGAAATTCTGTTATCACACTGACAATTTTGAAAACATTCATTTACAATGAATTTCTGTTAAAAAATCCTATTTATCAATATACATGTACAGTATTGTAGACATATATTAAATAAATCACTTGCATATTTGACAAGTTAAATCCCGTTTATTGCACTTGATAATAAAACATAAATTATATTCATTGTCGTTACGTGTTTACATAGTATGCCATCAGGTCTGTTTTATCCGATTTCCATAAATAGCCGAATGTATATCAATTAACAAGCATAAGCTATCTATAGAATATATCTCATAAAAAATCTGTATGCCTACTAACAGACATCCTGTAAACAAACGAATCGTTCTTTTGAAGTCGCAACCTTAAATTATAATGTCTATTTAATGTGACCAGACTTTTTAAAGAGGGATGATAAAGGGTATCATAGATTAAAATGCAATTTAAAAAGCCCTTATGTGATTTCGGTGCGACTTATAGAGATTCATGCCCCTTCCACACCCCGATCTATTCAATTTTGACATAGTATAATGATTTAAGTTTATTGATTTATTTAAACACCATGAATCTATCTAATTGTTGTGTAAAATTGGCACAATTGTGACCGCATGCATTAAATTAAAACAAATGTATATCAAGTTTATATACGTTCAACAACAATCGCATAACCAATCCATAAATCTTATTCTTAGGAATTGCCTAACCAATAAATACCAATATAGTTAATGACACGCTTTTTCTGCGCAGGTTAATGCCTGTGAAAAGAACTAATAGCACAAACATCAATGCCACCTGGTGAAAGAGTTTTTGGAAGAATTCAACTCTTCTTAACCAAGTGTGAAAAAAAAACATAAATGAAACAGCGGCGTTAAAGACAAGTACCATCTAAATTCAAGTGCAATCCTTCACCCTTCACTGCAAAAACATCCCGAATGGGTTTACCACAACGTAAAAATCATTTAACAGATATGATAAACTCTGACAATGCCAATCTGAGCATTTGGCCTCAAATAATAAATTGACCTGCTTGGTTTTATCCTTTGTATCCCCATGATCAAAAAGACGCTGTAAGATTGAAGAAAATACAATGTGAGTCCTAGAATTAATCCTCCTGATAAAGTTATCAAGTTATTGCTAAAACTGATAATATCTTCGACATAATAAATATCCGACGAATTTATATCATTCGTGCCCACACGATTAATTGTGACATGTTATGACACTATAAATGATACCTTTCAATCATAGCTGACAAACGGGTTATATTAACATCTGGATAAGCAATGTCATTATTACACTAAATATTATCCACACCCTTGGCAATGGAATCTGTTAAAATATGAACCACAATACCTGTAATGACATAATAAAGGATTAAGAGGGCTCAATAAACCTAATTAAAGGTAGCAAAACATACAACTAACAATCAACTGTAAACATTTGAGTAAAAACAAACCATTTATCAGACAAATTCAAATCTAGATATAATTTATACGCATCAGATTTCCAATCTCCAAAATGTTGACTAAGTGTTTGAGACACCCCTAACCTATGAAAGCCAAAGGGGCGAACCCACGACGAAAACCATGACTACTGAAAAAAAGAAGGTTCCAAATGTATCATTTTGATACACTCCCTCAATTTATTTTGAAACCGATTATAAGTAACCAATTGACCCCCAGACAGAGTGAACAATACATTATGTTTATGACGAATATTCAATGCTAATAAACCATCATAAGCTGCCACAGGACACAATCTCGTATCGCGTAATCTAATCAAAGGGGAAATGACTTCTCTCCCATCACACTGAATTGTTTTAGACCAGTTAAAATGACCTTAAATATAATTACCAAAATCCTGCACAGAATCCGTATTCCAAGCTATGCCGTTAACAACATCAGCGTAATCTGACGAGGGCACTATATTAGATTTACTAGCACAAAGAAAATGGCAAAAAGAGAAAGACACCAGTGAACAATACTATCTGACAAAGAAAAATCCATAGCAACAAAACTCTGTAGTAAACATTCTAACCTGTAGTAAACATTCAAATGTAATGGGTTCTGCCCGAAACCGACCAAGAATTTAACATTGCTATGCCCCTGTTAGACAAAAACAAATAAGAATTAATGTTATCAACACCATAACCCAAAATCAAATGAAGAGTTCTAACAGCACTGATATAATTTTTATTACTATCAACATACTTAAGTGACCTGCTAAGAAATTGAGCATACAAATGCAAGGTGCTAGTGGAAGCTGACAAAAAGGCATAATTTGTAATGTTAATCAAATAATAAAAAAATGCAACTGAATACGCAAATTCTTTTGCGTGCCCAAAGCAAAGCCTAATTTATGAGATGTCTAACTCAATGCCTGAAGAAAATAAAAATAAAAACCAAGCGCCACCAATCATACTGAAAATTAAAACAATTTCTCGTGAACTACAATTTTTATAAAAGACAAAAAAATCAGAAACCAAGGCAAAACAATCCATACTGTACCTTAGATGTAAATCCCATCTAGATAGATAACAAGAAAGGCGATTTTCATAACTGCTTAAATGAACAGTTGTAATTTGAAAATCATTCATACGAGCAATAAAACATATTTCTGGCAAGCATTGTTGTAAAAACCGATATCCAGATATGACAGAATTAAAAGCAATGCAAACTGCTAAATTATTATAAGAAATACTGATTCTTTTTTTGTGAAAATCCTTGCACCACAATTTTAAAGGAGACAACTACAGACAACATCTCTAAACAAGTGAGTGATGCTAAGACACAAGTCCAAAATAAATATCGGAAAGGAACCATGGAAAAACTTTTCTCAACAAATATCACCACAACTGGTTAAACAACTATCAGAACTAAAAATAGAATCAGCACGCGAATCTATGAGAGACACATCATTATACAAAGGTAAAAAGGTCTGATGCCATGAGATATCTTTGTTAACTTCCTAAGGAATGAAAAATGAAGTATCAGAATAGCTATAACAATCAAGTAACTAGCTCAAAATCCGACTAACAAATAAACGCCTTGACATAACACAGAAACCAGTAAAGTTTAGTCTACCTAAACGCTTCTGAATGTCTTTCAAAGAAGCATATTCCTTATCCACCCAGGAAGCAATTAAACTCTTAATTTTCTTTACTGTAACATATCCATCGTAACTTTCTTTGTCATAGATTGAGTATTAAATAATACTCCGAAAAAGGTCATAACATGTGAAGGCAAACAAGCTTTATTCCAAGCATCGTCCAATGCCTCTTCCATGCCACTTCTGATAAACAATTTCTTAAGCAAACAAAAAGCAAAATAAGCATGATCTTTATTTTCAACTCCACAAAAATCATCTAAATAATTACAAACATTAAAACCGAACTTGAAAATCATGAAAGCAAGTACTGTAGTTACTCTCTGACAAATTAAGGCAGAGGACCGTAAACCCATAGAATGAACAGTATAAAAAATGATGTTCCAGACAAAGCCCACTAGATTATAGTTAAAAGGACAAGTACTAATTTGTCTATAAGCTCTGCGAAGATCTAACTTGTATAAAAGACAACCTGGATCTTTAGACTTCATTAAAAGGATAAAATTATCTACTTTAGGGTAAAACAAATCCATTGCTTCACGAAAAATAAAAATCTTTTGAAACAAAATCATTAACTCCTATACCATCTTTAGGAAAGCTTAAATCTAAAATTACCCTATGTTCGTTTAGACTAGACTTAGGCACAGTATTTAGAGGGGAGATCAACATACCCTTCTCAAAGGGACATGAAGGAAAGGGGCAATAACAGCTTCATGTGAAGCCTCCTTAACTTAATAATCAAGCATATGCTGCGGACAATTTAAAGCACCTTTGTGATTTTTAACACTGGATGATTTACCAAACAGAATCTCCTTACAATTATCTTTAGATTAAATTGGAAAACCATATCTCAAAAGTTTATTAACCTAAACATCAAAATCTTTCCTTCACTGCGATACAAACATCACAATGCTTCCTATGAGAACAAAAACATACGTCCTTAGATATATTGTTAAAGTCAGAAAGAAGCATTGGCTTTTTGCAAACCTCTGGAAGAAACAAATTAACAAGGTCTTGTGACTGACTGTTATAATCACCACAAGAAAACATAGACTAAATACAATTTGTCAGTCACTGGTTAGTATGAGGGCATGCACTCGAACATTCCGGATGAAGCAATTCGTTTTTCCTAAATGGCATATATGTGCTTAGCAAATCGAGAGCTACCCCTTTAAGTGACAATAACATGAGAAGTCCCTTGTGAACATTTGTTGCGTTGAGATTTGTTACAAAACCAAATAGTAGAACCAACGCTAGTATTATATTCCTGAGGAAGAGTATAAGCAGGTTTAGACCGAAATTGTGTACTATCAAATATCTTAACATGACGTAACATGTGACTACATCTAGTAAGTACGGCAGACTCCACAGAATGAAAATCATACTCCACAAGTAGCATGACCTAACTTAATTTCTCTTAACACAGCTGCGTAAATATGTTTGATAACAAAACATCATATTTACTATTCAAGTACATTAATATTTTCAAAAGGTTTAATCTTCCTTCTTTTTCAATTTTACCTATTCTATTGAATGAGATTATTTCTAACTCTCACCAGCAATAAATAGATTGAAATCTAATTGGTCAAAAGAAATATTTTGACTTACAAAGTCAAAACGTAAATTTGAATGGTGATACATAAGCGGAAGGTTTAGATGATATACCCGATGTGTCTTTCCGGGTTTTCTAGTTTTACTTGCAGTCTTAGAGGAAAGGCAAGTATCATACTCGCTGTTATCTTCTGAAGAAGAATAAGAATAGAAACTTGTAAAGATCCGTTAATTCATTTATTGTAAGAATTGGACTGTCATGTTTTATGTCAGAATAGGCATAGGGCTGCTTATGTTTATGTGTTTATAAAATCTTTTGTTTTCACTAGAATATTGGACATCAACAGAGTGTACTTGCGCATATTGTTTGGCAATGTTGACCTGATAAATTCGAATATTCAATAAACTTTAGTCAGTAAATGTCGGATCCCAAAGTAAATCATACGGATTATAAAGCATAGCATATCTATATATATATATTTATACACAAGGGACGGTCAGAAAATATCCTGGCACTTACCTTGCTCATGCCTAGGTGTTCGTGTAAAATCTTGTGTGCCGATGCCTTACCGATACTAAACTTGTTGGCTACCTCCTCCAAAGTTACTCGACGATTTTTGTTGACAAAAGCTTAACATTTGCTACCATTGTTGGGGTCACCGCCTCAGCTGGCCGCCCAGTCCTAGGCCTGTCACAAATACTTGTTCTGCCTTCACGAAACTGAGAAACCCAGTTGTAGAAGGTTGAACGTGAGACACATTTATCAGAAAATCTTTTTTTAAGCCTCTGAAAGATGTGGCAGCGCTTTTCACCTTCTGTAACCAGAAACTTTATTACAAAGCGTTGTTCTTCTAACAAAGAGTCCATGATAGACGAAACACCTATCATATATCAGAGGGCAAAATACTGTGTATACACAACATCATTGAAAATAAACTGACCACGTTATTGGCGAATGAATGTAGTTTTCACCAATATATAATGTGTGTATATAGCTGCACGTGGAAAGAGAGGTGCATGAAAAGTCCGGATATTTTCTGACCATCCCTCGTATGGTTTATGTATAAGTAATAGAAAGAATTTCGAAAGACGAGACTATCTGATTTGTACGAGGGGGGTGTAGCAACAGATAAAACAGATTGCCTGTGGTTTTTATGTTCTTTATGGAAGACACATTCCCTGTTGTCACAATATGAAACCCCAGAAAAAATAGCCAATAAAAGAATCCTTTTTCTGCCGTTACAATAAGTTAAGCCCAGACAAAACGTGAAGCATTTTCGTTTACTAAATTTTTTTCATTATCGATTATTTAAGTGACATTATGCTCATTTTTTCATTGTCAAATTTACTTTAATTGACTATATATTTTAATAAACTGGTCGTTATAATGGTGATTGACCAACACATGATATTTGAAAATGTTTAGGGTAAAAAATAAATCTACCTTAAATATATAAAAAGACTGCCCCACGCTTTTTATACATTGGAAGTTACAGATACATTCCGACGGATGATGACACACATTTCACAAGGCCTAGTAAGATATTTATCTTTCATGTGAAGTAAATTATAAAACTGAAAGGAATTATGAGAAAGCGTCAACTTATTTTGACTCTCAATTTTAAGGACAATTACATTTTGTTTCAGATAAGTAACTTTTAGCCAGTTTTGATCTAGTTTAATTAGTTTAATATATT